AAGAACCGTAGGTGCAGATATATTTAGCTTTTTTTTTTTTTTTTTTTAAGGTCCTGGGGATCGTTACAGGACCATGGATGTGCTAGGCAAACACTGCATCACTGTACATCCCAAACCCCAGACACATTTGTTGAAGGCCCAAGTACTTACTTTTAGACTGTAAAATATTCCATAAGTTAGGCGGCCATCAGCCATTACAAAGATGAAAGAGAGGGTGTGAATAGTGTTTTACTGGTGGACGGATTCCATTGTGTGGCCTGTTTCACGTAGCCTGGCACGTGAACCCCTCTAACGTGAACCCGGAAGTGTGCTGTTGCTCTTCCGGGTCAGGCTACCCGGAATCCCGGAATGGGCTCCTGTGTTCCTGCTGGGTCCTGTGCTCCTGCCGGCTCCTGCCTTCACAGACGATGGTTAGGACGCTCTCTGGGGTCTAAGTGGGTTCAGATCCATCTCTACTTGCAAGTACTAGACCTTGACAAGTTGTTTAACTTCTTTGTGCCTCAGTTTCTAGTCTGGGGAATGGAAACAGCTGTCGAACCTCAAAACAGTTGTTCATGGGGATTGGGTGACACAGGGCCTGGCATATAGGTTTTAGTTAAAACCTGGGGTTGTTGGGGAAAAAAAAATGTTGTCGTGCAAAACACATGGCCAGAATTGAGTTTTTATAATATGTGAGAAATCACAACGGCCAGTTTTCTTTTTTTCCCTCCCCTTAGGCAGAAAATCCAAAGCCTGAACTCTGGCCTGACAAAAGCATGAGGCAAACTATGTTATCAATTTCACAGAAGTTGTGATCTCCTTCTCATATGGCTCATCTTTGTCTCCATTTCCCTTTGCTTCAAGAAATCACGAGAATCGGGTAGTAAAGATTGGAAAAAATAAAGGATGCCTACTTTTTGAAGGTTTTATTTTTATGGGTGTGTATGTTGTATGTGGCTTAAAGGTGTAAGGGTGTTAATAGTAGCAATGTGTAGGGTCTTTTTTCCTCAACATTTTATTTAAAAAAAAAAAAAAAACTTTAAACATTCAGAAAAACTGAAACAACTCTACAGTGAATACCCAAATGTAGAGAGTTTAAAAAACAAAACAAAACATTCTTTTTTAAATAAAAACTAATAATGGGGCCGGGGCTGGGGCTCAGGGGTAGAGAGCTCGCTGCATGTGCAAGGTGCTGGGTTCTATCCTCAGCGCCACATAAAAATAAATAAAGGTATTGTGTCCAACTACAATTAAAAAAAAAAAACTAATAATGGGATTATAAAAAAACAAAAAACTGCCATAGACTCATATAACAGGTACCATATCTACCTTTTATATTTAACTCATGCTGGTATTTTGCTATATTTCCATCCACTCTTTTTGGGAAAGGGTAAGGTTTTGTTTAAGATTTTAGAAATAAATAATTTTCCCTACATGCATTCCCAGGGGAAATCTCAATGCTTGTCTGAATCTTTTCTCCTTTATGTTTTTTAATTCAAAATATTTTTGTGAACATACATATATTCACAAAGAATGCTTTTAAGCTTGAAAACTTTATATAAATGATATCATATATAAATGATATCATATCTGAATTAATCTGCTAGGTATTCCATAACAAAGTACTACATAGGGCTGGGGGTGTCACTCAGTTGTACAGCACTTGCCTAGCACATGTGAGGCACTGGATTTGATCCTCAGCACCACATAGAAATAACTTAATTTTTTTTAAAAAAAGTATTATGTCCATCTATAACTAACAAATAATATTTTTAAAAATTACCTGAGATTTGGTGACTTAAACAACAAAAATGTATTTTCATGAATTTTGGGAGGCTGGATGCCCAAGATCAAATCAAGGTGTTAGTGGGGTTCATTTCTGGTAATACCTCTCTTCCTGGTTTGTATATGGTCCCCTTCTCATTGTGGGCTCACACAGCCTTTTCTCTGTGTGTGGAGATGGAGACCCCTGCTGTCCCTTCCTCTTGGAAGGACACCAGTCCTATCACACCAAGGCTCTACCCACCCTATGTCCTTATTTAACCTTAATCATTTCCTTGAAGGGTACATCTCCAAATAGTCACACTGGAGGTTGGTGCCTCTTTCCTGGTTTTGAGTCAGACTTTCCAAGTTGTAACATTACCATTTTCTCACTCAACTGTACTTTCTTACTGTTTTTTTTTTTTTAAATGGGTTCTGTATTTATGCTCTTACCCATACCTCAACACCTCCATTCTTGAGTTCTTTAGTTTGATTGGATTGTCCAAATGATTTTTCTTACCAATAGAGCCTATGAATGCTGAATTCTCTCAATTCTTCCAAATTTGAAAGATGTATTGATTGGGTGAATATTCTTAGGTCACACTTTCCCTCTGAACTTTGTAGATATGGTTCTTTTGTCTCCTGTCAGTAGATGTAGCTGTGAGAAAATGAATGGGCCTCCGCTTTTCCTTCTTGGGGCTGATTTGCTTTTTCTACCTAAGAAATTCCTTCTTTCTGTCAAAGCCTAGTAGTGTAGTAAGGTATGTCTTGGTACTGAGGATCTGTCTGCAAATTACAGCCTTTATTTTATTTCAGGGAAATTCTCTTGTATTCAGTCTTTGAATTTTGTTTCATTTATGGGTCCTCTATTTCTGGAAGATCAATTATCAGTGTTGAATTGGCTTTGTCAGTTCTTTTGTCAGAAGTTAGCTTCTGACTGATTAGTTTAGTCTCTGTCCTTTGATCTGCATTTGCCATGATTACTGATTTATTGAACTCAGCATTTCCTTCAGTTAGTGACTCCATTTCAACAATGTCCTGGGCTGGGGATGTGGCTCGAGCAGTAGTGCGCTCACCTGGCATGCGTGCGGCCCGGGTTCGATCCTCAGCACCACATACAAACAGAGATGTTGTGTCCGCTGATAACTAAAAAATAAAATATTAAAAATTCTCTCTCTCTTTCTCTCTCCCTCTCCCTCTTCTCTTTAAAAAAAAAAATGTCCTATTGCTTTTTAAAAAAAATTTGTTCTATGATGATGTCTTAGTTCTGATTTTGCTTTTTGTATGTTTTTTATCTTTCTTTTTTCAACTTATTCTATTTTATCAAATATCTTATTTTTATAGTATGCATGCTTCCCTTGTGTTTTGTGTTCTGTGAAGGGAATGAAGAAATTGTGAAGAATATCTTTGTTGCTCCTGGGATTTATAGCCCTCCCCCACCAGTAATCTTTACCTTTGCATTCCATGTTTTTTCTTAATTCTCTTTCCTATCCCTCTTCCCTCCCCATATCTCCTTTCTTCTCCTTCACCCCCACTCCTTTTGATTGGGTGGTATGTTAGCCTCCTCCCCAATATTACTACCCCATTTTTTTCATCTTATCTATGTTTGGCAATCCTTCTGAAATCTTCTGTGTTTGCAAATGGAGCAGCATTACAGCTTGAAGATGGAATATTCCATGTCCTGGTTTTCTGTTGCCTAAGGGAACTGGGGGGTTGGAAAGACTGCTACATGTACTGTTAGGACACCTTTTGGCTTGCATGCTGGGTTGGGCTGGGAGAGTGGGAGAGGCGTGGTTTCCTCCTCTTTCCCTTTTTCTAGTGCAGTGCACAGGCCTAGAGCCAGTATTTACATCAGAGTCAATGTGGGCAGTCCCTCAAGTCCTGTGGGTGAACCAGAGCACTTAACATGAACAGAGAAGTCTGAAAAGATGCTTTAAAGTTCTCAACAATGCTGAGATATATGCCAGAATGCTAGTGTTTTAAGCCAAAATCTGAAGTCTGATGTAACTAGACTAATTAAGAGTAAGGTGGCCTAGCAAATAGAAGAACATGTTACATGACCCAACAGGGAGGAAAACAGCTAAGTCCAGAGGGAGAGAATCTGCAGGACCAGTGTTTGATTGCTTTAGCAAAAGGATAGCAATGAAAAAAGGAGAGAGAGAGGGGAGCCTATAGACTAGAAGACATTCAAGAACCATAACAACAATTGCAGGAGATGGACCTTATTTGTATCCTATTTCAAAACAACCAAAATTTTTTTCTTGGACAAAATGTGAAATATAGGGGAAAGATAAAATAATGTTGGATATTTATTAAGTCCTTCATTTTCACATGTTGAAAGGCGGAGTAATGATATTATGATTTCTATTATGATATTAGAATTATGGTATTATGATTAAAAGAAAGCCCACATCTTTTAAAGACATATTCTGAAATATTCGCAAGTGAAATTTATGAATTTCATAATTCACTTCAGAGTGATCCAGGAATGGGAATATAAATGAAACAAGCTGAATTTTTGCCTAAAATTCAAATCAGTGTAAAAGTAGAAGAAGAGAAATTTTTGGTAGAATTGACTTTTCCCCCCTTAGAAAAATTCATTTTTTAGATCAAACATTTCCAAACATTGTTCAATTATATGTTAATGCTGTACTCAGAGGATGAAGCCATGAATAGGAAAGACAGTCTGGGAAGCTACTTTTTAAGAACCTAGAGGGATGAAAAGGAAACAAGCAATAATGAAATAAATGTGAAAATATTATCTGGTGAGATGTACAGTTGTGAAAACAAGACAGTGTAACGTGACAGAGATTGGCAGGAGGTTCTTCAGGGAAGGCCTTGTTCAGGGTATGATTGCCCCCAGGGTAGAGGATGCTCAATGAATGATGTCTTGAGTGTCAAGAAGGTTCTAAGGCTCTAGGTTGGCATGCTAGAGGGACACAAAGAAGCCACATGGCTGGCGTGTAATGAACAATTTAGGAGTGACAGGGTAGAAACCACCATGCTAATGGGAACTGTGTCCGGAGTTCCAGAAAGCTCCAGAAGAACTATTTTATCTGTCAAGAGATAGTTGTCACTAGTTGAGTTTGGGAAGGATGCAGTAGTTTTACATTTGTCTTTTTAATCACGCTTTTAGTGTACTTGCTAGGATGGTGTGTTTTGGGGAGAAAACCCCCAAGGGGTAGTGCTTTGGGTCTGAATTTGCAATTAGGTGAAAATACTGGATTCTGACACATGGATTTGTGCTTTCTCCTTTTCAGTGCCATTTCTGTGAGAAGGCCTTTATGAACCAAGCTTATCTACAAAGCCACATTCAACGCSGCCACCCTGATGATTCTCACCTTGGTAAGGAATGAGTGCTGTCTCACAGCTGTTTTCTTTCTGCTCTTCCCCCCTTTTTTTCCCTCAGTGAGACATGGTCCAGTGTGTTTCTTGATCCTTTTAAAAGAAAGATTCATCATCTTCGTTGATTCAGTAAGTAAATATTGAGCCCCTGCCATGTGCGTGCAGTATTCTAGGTGCTAAGAATATGACCAGAAGTCCAACAGAGGAGTCCTGCTCTCTTGAGTCTATGTTCTAAAGGAGGGGCTGAGAATCAAACAAATAAAAGAGGGAATTTTTCAAGTGATGACAAGTGAGAAGAGGGTAATAAAACAGGCACATGGGAGAGAGGGTGGCCAGGTGGTCAGCAAAAGCCTTGCTGAGGAGGCCATATCTATCAGGGATCAGAATGATGAAGGGGTTCCAGCCTGGTGAGAATCAGAGAAGAGTATCCCAGGTGTAGGAAACACTGATTGTAAGGGGCAGGAGGGCAGGCAAGACAGCATGTTTGAGGGACAGAAAGGAGGCTGGAGGAGTAAGTAAGGTAGCAGCATGTGGCGAACCCAGAGGGGCAGAGGCCAGACCTCGGGAGGCTAGCAAGGCCTTGTCTGGAATATGGATGTCTTTAGAAGTGTAGTGGGAAGCCACTGGAGGATTTTAAGTAGGGAAGGATCGTGATCTCATTTGTACCTTAAAGCACTCTTCTATATATGGGTAGAAGATAGTTTGTAGGAGCAACAGTGGGGCAGAAAGGAGGAGTGCACAGCTGCCCAGGTGAGAGAAGATGATAGCCTGAACCAGATGTCACAGGGCAGAGGAAGAGATAAAAACATAAAGGAAATGTTTAGACACAGAACCTATAGAGATGTGACTCAGCATGAGAGCAAGAGAAGACGCAAAGATGATCCTGGTTTTTTGTCCTCGTGTTTGAGTAAGCGGAGGTGATGTTTACTGTGATGGAGTGCTGGAGGTAGGAAGTGGTTTGAGTGCAGAGGAAGAGACTAGAAAGTTTGTGTTGGCCATGGGTATGTTTCCATCACACAGGCAGTAGACATGCAGATGGTGTTCTGAAGATCTGTGTGTCCAGAAAGAGAAAGACCCAGACTGGAGGTAGGACTCTGGGATTCACTGAAGGAAAGCTTGGCTGGCTCATGTCACCTAGATAGAGATCAAAAGACCCAAGCCAGCCCACCAGTAGGAAGGGCAGGTGGAGTGTGAGAAATAACATCTTTGGGCATTATGGAAACCGAAGGAAAAAGTATTTCATAAAGGAGGCAATGGTCAGGTGTATCAATAGTTTTTGAGGCACAGAGTAAGATACAGATAGAAATTGACCATTGTTGTCAAGATAGTTGTTGGTACCTTGAACTGGTAGAAACAAAAGCCCAATTTCGGTGAGCTGAGCTGAGAATCACGAAGTGGTCCTATTGAACACAGGCGTTGATGTCAATAACATTTGCTGGGAGGGAGACATGAGGCATAGTCTGGACCAAAATATGGGAGCAATATGACGATTTTGTTTCATTTGGTGTGAGAGGTACTGTGTTTGGGTGCTGGGAGATGAAGATGCAAGAGAGAGGAGGGGATTCTGTGGCTTACCAAGGGACCAAGTTTTCTTCTATTTCAGTGTTCTCAAAAGCAAAAAATGTAGGATCTCTTTCTCCATGAGCAGACCAAAGCATTCTGCTGCAGTAACCCACAGGAATTCTTACTACAATTTTAAGTGTTTTTAGTATCTAGATATGTTACTCCTTCATTTTGGGCCAGTCTGTTTCTGTTCCTGCCCATCACAGGTAAATAGATTTGTTTAAGGAATTGCTAAGCTTTGCAGAAACAAAATAAAATTCCATTTATAAGTCACAGACCACTGCTAGAATATAGCAATATATTGAAAAAATGGGAAAAATGAAATATTTTAATTAACCTACCATTCTTCAGTGTGAAACTGACCTTCTTTCTTTTCTGTTTCAGTATCTTACTCTATCTCATACTCGTTTCAGAGAGTATTTCAGCCTCTGAAATGAGTATTATCTCTTCAGGTCATCTTTGAGATTCTGACTTTCTACTTTGGTTTCCATACCTTTCATGTCTACACTCACAGACACATGTATATCCATTCAGTCATGTGTACATCTTCATGTAAGTACATGTACATAAGTATTCTTCCCTTCACTTGTTGCTTCTTTTTACTACTTTTCAGTTTCTCGCTTCTGCCCTAGTGACAGGGTACCGCCTGAGTTTGCATTCTGAATGCCAGCCCTCTGCTTGTATTAGCACTGATGGGTCTTCAGGAGAGTTCGGTGGGAGCCAGAAGGATGGTGGCCTTAGTGATTTCAGCATGGTGGCACTTGCAGGGAAAGCCCTTGTTTTCCTTCTCTGATTGAGACAGGCATCTTAAAGAAGAGCCCAGAGTGCCATTGGGTCAAAGTGACTGGGATTATTCCTTGTCAGCTTTATTGCTCCATGAACAGGGCTCTCATACTGTCTCTGTAGGATAATCCAGCCTCAATATGGTGGCTGAAAGACTCTGCTAAAAGTAACTCTTTGTCCAAACATATGAAGGGCTCCAAATAAACACTAAAGAGCAAAACTGAGCTCACAGCATGCAACAAGTAATAATATCCCAAGTAAGAGCAGTGTCCTTTGCTGAATCTGTAGAACTGTGCCTTGTAAGTTTTCAGATGAGTTTCATAAGAGATGGTGTTTTAACAAGATTTTCCATTGCAACAGAGTATAAAACAAAGGCTCAGACGGACAAGCTCCAGAAGGAGGTGGACATGTTGAAGGAGCAGCTGCAGCTTACCAAGTCTCAGTTAGAGACTGCTCAGCACGCTCATGCAATCAGATTCTCTAAGGTAGGCTGCAAAATTCTGAACTAATGGTCTACTAATTATAATTAACTATGTAATTCAGTTGTGCCATGGACTCTACTAAAAATACAAGACACTTGAGAGTTTGTAGGGCACAATAAAATGTGATTGCATTTTGTGTTGTTAAGCTACTCTTTAGTATCTAATTCCAAAGCACATTGCTAGAAATATAGTTCTCTATTTTTTAAAATAGGTGAAATTCACACAGCATACAGTTAATTTTTTGGTCTTAAAAACCTTACGTTTATTATCTTATGTTACATTTTTTTGAGTTGGAAGTCTGATAAGTCTCACTGCCAAAAATCAAGGGGTCAGCAGGGCCACCTTTCTTATTGGAGGCCAGGGGAAGACACTATTTTTTGCTTATTTGGGTTGTTGGCAGAATTTGGGTTTCTTGCAGTTGTGGAATGGAGATATCTACTTTCTTGCTGGCTATGCACTGAGGGAAGCACCTAATTTCCCTGTGAGGCATCTGTACTTGGCTTATGGCCCTCTGACTGCATATTCAGAGCCATCAGCATTGGGTCAAGTACCTCTTGTGCATCAGAACTCTCATTCTTTCTTCTCATCCATGTGTCAGCCCTGGTGGGTGCTTGGAAGGTCCTGTTCAGAGTTACTCAGGGTTTCCTGTGGGGGAAAGGGGACTGCGATGTTATTAGTTCTGACCACTGTGGGTTGGAGTAGGTACACTATGGGTACCAGCTATGTCATCTCTGATCCACAGAGGATTGGCCTCAGTATACTTAGTGGAAAGAGAGAGATCACAGAAGAGCATTTCTTTTATTTTCACTGTTGAAGTAGTATAGCATACACTGTTTTTGTTTTCTGTATGATGATAGGAAGTATGACTTTTCTAGGGGAAACAACAAGTCATTCCACGGATAAACACTGTTTTCTACATGTTCTCTCTTTCTCTTATTTAAAAAATGATGAATTTACACAACATGAAATATACCGACCTAATAATTTTTTTTAAATTTTAATTGGTCCATTATAATCATAGATTACATTAGGATTTATTGTTATATATTTGTACAGGCACAGACATAAATTGGTCTATTTCATTCTCTTGAACTTCCCCTTTCCCTCTCCTCCTAATTCTCTTTTCTCTATTCTACTGGTCTCTCTTCCATTTTCAGAGGTCCCCTTTCTTTCCTTTTTTCTCTGAAGATTCTGCATTTGAGAGAAAGTGCATGACCCTTGACTTTCTGAGTCTGGCGTATCTCACTTAACATGATGTTCTCTAGTTCTATCCATCATAACATCATTTCCTTCTTCCTTATGGCTGGGGAAAACACCATTGTGTATATATACCATATTTATTCATCTGTTGAGAGATATCTATGTTGATTTCATAACTTGGCTATTGTGAATTGTGCTACTATAAACATGGGTATGCATATATCACTATAGTATGCTAACTTTAATTTTTTTGGGATAAATACTAGAGTGATAGCTGGGTCATAATGGTGGTTCAGTTCCAAGTCTTAAAGAACTTCCATACTGATCTCCATTGTGGTTATACTAATTTATAATCCCACCAACAGTGCAAAAGTGTCCCCCCACCCCATATTTAAGAACATTTATTATTTTTTGTGTCCTTGATTGCTATTCTAACTGGAATGAGATGAATTCTCAGTGTAGTTTTGATTTGCATTTCTTGAATGGCCAAAGACATTAAATATTTTTGCATGTATTTGTTGGCCATTGGTATTTTTTTCTTGTAGGAAGTGTCTGTTTATGTCATTTGTTCATATATTCTAGATATTAATACTTTGTCGAAAGAGTAGCTGGCAAAGGTTTTCTCCCATTTGTTAGGTTCTCTCTTCATATTCTTAGTTTCCTTTGCTGTGCAGCTTTTTAATTTGATGCCATTTCATTATTAATTCTTGGTCTTGTTTCCTGAGCTTTAGAAATCTTAAAGGAAGTTGATGCCTGCACCTGTTGGAGTGTTGACCCTGTTTTCTTCTAGCAGTTGCAGAGTTTCTGGACAAATTCCTGTCTTTGAGTTTGGCTTTTGTACAGGGTGAAAGATAAAGATCAAGAATTGTTTCCTTAATTTCCTTTGCTGGTATATAGAAAAAAAAAGATTTTGTTTCTTGACTTTATGCTCTGCAATTTTGCTGAATTTGTTACTCTGATAGCTTTTTAAATATATTTATGTGATTTTCTATATAGACAATCTTGTTATCTGCAAGCAGATTTGGGTTTGTTTCTTCTTTTCCAATTTGGACATAGTTTATTTATTTTTCATGCCTAGTTGCTCTGACTAGAATCTCCAGTACAGTGTTGAATAGTGGTAAAAGCAGTGAAAGCAATGCAGCAGTACCTTGATGTGTTGCTGGTCACGGGAGGAAAGGTTTCAGTTTTCTACCATTGATTATAATGTTAGCTGTGGGCTTTTCATAAGTGCCTTTTCTTATATTTGTCATATTCTCTTATAGTCATTTTAATTTCTCTAAATATTTTAGAGCTTGCCTTCTGTTTCTATTTTACTGAATTCTTTTCATATAAGGGTGTTGAATTTTATCAAATGCTTTTTGTGTCTGTTTAGACAATTGTGTGTGTTGCTGTTTCCTTCTTTCCATTAGTGTAGTGTTACATGGATTGATTTTCTTCTGTCAAACCAATGTTGCTCTCTAGCATACAGCCCCCTTGGTCATGATGTATGATCTTTTCAATGTGCTCTTGGATTTGCATTGCTAGTATTTTTTGAGAATTTTTGCATCTATTTTCATAAATTATTGCCATGTGATTTTCTTGTCTTGTGTATCTCTGTCTGCCTCTGGAAAATATAGTCCTGATAGAATGTTTTAGGAAATAATCCCTTCTCTTCTACTTTTTTTGAAAATTTTGAGTAGCATTGGTTTAGTTTTTTGTTTTTTCTTTTAAATATTTGGTAGAATTTACCACTGAGGACTTCTGGTTTTGGAATTTCCCCTGGGAGACTGTTTTTTGTTGTTGGTACTGGGGATTAAACCCAGGGGTTCTTAACTTCTGAGCCACATTCCCAGCCCTTTTTAAAAATATTGTATTTAGAACTAGGGTCTCACTGAGTTGCTTAGGGGGCCACGCTAAATTGTTGAGGCTGACCTTGAACTTACAATTCTCCTGCCTCAGCCTCCTGAGCAGCTGGAACCACAGCCCTGCACTACTGAGCCTGGAGGCCTTTGGGAGGTCTTTGAATACGGTTTCATTCTTTTTACTTGTGCAAAGTCTATTGAAATTTTCCTTTTCTTCTTGTGTCACTTGTGATAGTTTGTGATTCCTCCCTTTCCCCACTTACTGAGAATTGAATCCAGGCCTCATGCATGCTAGGCAAATATTCTATCCCTGAGCTACATCCCCAGCCCTAATTTGTATTTTTCTAGGAATGTGTCCATTTTACCTAGTTTGTTTGTTGGTGTGCAAGTATGTTTGTCATATTCTCTTATAGTCCTTTTAATTTCTCTAAATTATTTCTTAGACTAACTATAAATTTGCCAATTGTGTTGATCTTTTTGAAGAACCAACTTTTGGTTTCATCCATTCTCTCTATTGCTTTTCTGTTCTTATTTTGTTTATCTTTTGTTCTGATATTAAGTATTTCCTTTCAGCTGGTTTTGGATTTAGTTTGCTCATCTCTTTCTAATTTCTTAAGGCATAAAATTAGGTTGTTGACTTGAGATCTTTTGAAGTATAGACTTTTATAACTATATTTTACTCTCTGAGCATGGATTTGGCTGCATCCTAAATGTTTTGGTATTTTAAATTTTCAGTTACCTCAAAGTATTTTCTAATTTCTCTAGTGAGGTTTTCTTTGCCTTATTGGTTATTTTAGGAATACGTTCTTTAATTTCACATATTTACTAATTTTCCTTCTGTTATTGATTTTTGGTTTTATTCTGTTGTGATTGGAGAAGATTCTTTGCAGGAATTCATCCTTTTTAAATTTGAGAAACATTTTATGACCTAACTTCAGTCTCTCCTGATGAATGTTGCATGTGTATTTGAGAAGAATCTATTCATATATATATGTATATATATATATGAATGCATATACATACTATACACACATATAATATGTCTTTTTATAATATGTGTGTATATGTATATGTGTGTATGTATTTTTTTTGGAGGGAGATGGGGCTACTCTACCCAGTTTTATACAGTGTCGATGTATCAATTTTATTCTACTGTTCAATAGAGTTATTCTTTTAAAATACATTGACATTTTACACATTCTTGCATTCTGTAGCAGAATGCAAAGCAGGAGGCTTCTGGCCTCTGTAGGTATTTGAAGGGAGGTGATGACATAGGGATGCTGTGTGCTGCTGCAGTCTGGAAGAATCATTGCACACAGACCTGCCATTATGGGAAGCATATTATAAGTGTAACTGAAACTAGCTAACAAATTTGAGGTGATGCTGTGACCATTTGTTTAAACTTTAGCGTGTTTACTTTATATCGGAACTTTTAAAGCCTTATATTAATACTTTCAGGAATATGAAATGCAAAAAACAAAAGAGGAAGACTTTCTGAAGTTATTTGATAGATGGAAAGCAGAAGAAAAAGAGAAACTAGTTGATGAAATGGAAAAAGTCAAGGAGATGTTTATGAAGGAGTTTAAAGAACTAACTTCTAAGAATTCAGCATTAGAATATGTAAGTACTGAACCTATAACTTCTCACAGTATTGGTTGTCTTGAAAGGTAGCATTAGAATGGCATTATGGTCAGAGGATCTGGAAGTCACTTTTCCTTGCCTTGCTGCAGAACCCCCCTCCCTACTCCAGTCCCAAGGAGCTCAAGGCCTGTCATGGCAGGAAAGGTAGACATGGATCACTGGTGTGGAAGAAGGAAACTGATCCAGAAAAACTGAGCAGGAATCCTTGCGTAGCCCCCTCCTCACCACAGGCCTGTCCAGCAAAGGGTCTCTAAAGCAAGCAGGATCCTGCAAAATGATCCCCTACCCTGTGGAACAGCCCTGGTCCACACTGCCCAGGTCATAAGCATGGACAATAGACAGGGCTAGCTAGGCTGGGACCTTCATCCTCTGTGCCAAGTAGGGTCCTCCTGCTAGAGTTTTCTGGGCCCTCTGCATCTTAGTCATCAATGGGGTAAGGAAGGAGGGTGCTGAAGGATGATCCTTGAGCTCCCTCTAGGGGCCAGCAGGTTTTAGAAATAAGGATGGAAGTTGTTTTTGGAACAGTGCTAAGGTCCCTCTCTGAACTCTTTTGTTTTTATCTAATGTCCTTTTTCTGCTCTAAGATCCTGTCCAGGATACCATGTTACATATAGGTGTCTTATCTCCTTAGGCTCCTCATTTGTGACAGCTTGTCAATCCTGTCTTTGATGACCCTAACAATTTTAAGGAATACTGGTTAGTTATGTAGGATGCCCTGCTGTTGGAATTTGTCTAATGTTTTTCTCGTGGTTAGACTGGGTTTGTAGGTTTGTTTTGGAGAGAGGACCTTGGTTAAAAAAAAGTGCCAGTTCACATCACATCAAAGGTACATACTGTCTCCACGAATTAGGACTGTTGGTATTGGCCTCTGTTACCTGGCTGAAGAGGTTTTTGTCAGAGCAGGTTTCTCTACAGAAAAGTCACTCTTTCCCCCTTCTTTGAACTGAAGTCACTGTGAGCAGTCCACATATAAGGAATAGGAGGTCTGCTTCCTCATCCTTCATTTTTGAAGTTAACATATTGACTCCTGTGGTTTTCCTAGGGCTTTTGTCCTGGGTAACTTTGGGAACAGTATAAGCAAAGGGTGCAAGAAGATACTGCATCCCTACTGGGTTTACTGATATGACTCCTGGACAGTATCAGTGTTTCACTGAATTATCTTAAGAACCATCTGCACCCACTTCCTCTGTTTCTGGCAACTATTTTGTGCCTGTTACATTTTTTAAAGCCCATTGTCTAAGATTAGAAAGGTTTTTCATGTTCTAGAAAGACCAGAAAACAATAGAAACAAGACATTAAAGCTGCAGGGAAGGGGTCAGGGGAGAAGCACAAGGAGCCTCCAGGAGAACAGACAGATTTAAAACGTGACTTCACGTTCCCTGATTTTAGTTACTATTTCAGTCTTATAAAAATATATGACATTTGTGGGGCTGAGGCTGTAGCTCAGTGGTAAAACGCTTGCCTCGCATGTGCAAGGCACCGAGTTTAATCCTCAGCACCACATAAAAATAAATAAAGATACTGTGTGTTAACCTACAACTAAAAAATATAAATAAAAAAATTTTAAAAAATATATGAAATTTGTGCTGGTGGTTTGAATTTTATTTTATAGCAATTGTCAGAAATCCAGAAGTCCAATATGCAGATTAAGTCCAACATAGGCACATTAAAAGATGCACATGAGTTTAAAGAAGACCGTTCTCCACATCCCCAGGATTTCCAAAATGTGATGCAGCTTCTCGATAACCAGGTAGGCATTTTTCGTTGCCTTGGTTTTTCTCAGTGAAGTCATTTTCAGTAGCTGTCACCTGTGGAAAGTGTGTTTGTTTCTTTTAGTGACCATGAAGATGACCTGTTTTCTTGCCTCCTAACACATGCCTGAATCACAATAGGTGTGCAGTAGTGCTTGTTTTTTGACTAATGGATGTAGATACAGAACAGTAGGCAAACTTATTTTAGTCCTTCTCTCACGTAATGGCAATTTGAACTACATTTTCATGTCAAAAGGCATATGGAAGCATTGAATTTATTTATTTTTATTTTTTTAATATTTATTTTTTACTTGTAATTGGACACAGTACCTTTATTTATTTATTTTTATGTAGTGCTGAGGACTGAACCCAGAGCTTCGCATGTGGTAAGCGAACACTCTACTTCTGAGCCATAATCCCAGCCCCTGAATTTATTTTGGGAGCTTAAATATACCATCACGTGGGTGAAATGATGATATTCTACATTTTTTGGACAAAATAATTAAAATCATTTGAAAATGAACCTCCGTCATCAGCCTAATCTTTCTTGTGGCTATTTTGGTCATAGCGGTTTAGGGGAGCAATTTTCTTTAAGTCAGGAAACAAAGATTAGAGTTTAGGAATTTGGGATTATGTTTTTAAGATAAGACTGTTGGGCTGGGGCTGGAGCTCAGTGGCAGAGTGTTTGCCTAGCACATGTGAGGCACTAGGTTCGATCCTCAGCAGCACATAAAAATAAACAAAGGCATTCTGTCCATCTATAACTACAAAAAATATTTGAAAAAAATAGACTGTTATTTTTTAAAAGGTAAGTATAATTTTGAAATATGGACTGTGATGCTTCTTGTTTAGTGCTCATGTCTTGCCAGCTTCCCCCAAGTCTACATTCTCCATTGCAGCCAGGTTGACCCTGTCACTGACCTGTCTAAAATGCATCAATGATCTTAGTTTTCACAAAATGAAGTCTAGAATCCATAACTGGCATAGTGGGTCCTCTGGACATGCACCTTGTGCTATCTCCCACCAGGCCTCACTTTACCTGATGCTTCAGTGGCTGGGCCCAGCAGCTCCTGTTCTGGAACGCAGCATCCTGTCCCTGCCTTGCTCCTGCTGCTTTCTCTGCCTGTCAGTCACCTCTCTATTTTCAGTACCTCTTACTCATTCTCCAGTAACAGCTGATAGTGTTTCTCTGGTCCCCCACTAACTAAGGAGGACCTGATCAACTACATGTTCTATAGAAATTTCCATCCTTATGTCTACTTTTTCCCCTGTACAGAGCAGAACCTTCTCCTAATCCTCTTACCCTGCAGCTGCCTAGTGAGGGACTTAGTGTGAGGTCGGAGACCAAAAGTTGGGGCCTGAACTGGATTGTTGACACTGCTTCCAACAGGCCAGAGACCACAGTGTTATCTCCCATGAATTGAAGAAAGTGGTTATGAAATACTGAAGTCCTACCTGAATTTTTTCTGTTTCCTTTCTATGAGTTGTGTTGTCAGTTCAGAACCCATAGACCTAGAAATGTTGGTGTTTCCTTTTGGCCCCTTACATTAGCAAACTAACATTTTTGCAAATAAAATTGTATTGGAACACAGCTATATCTTTTGATTCACATCTTACGGTGGCTGTTCTCTGACTACCCACAGTGGTGACCAACTCCTTAAACCCTTCCAATCCAAAATATTTACTATTAGCTCTGTAATAGAAATCTTTGCTGACTCTGCCTTACAGTATATGATTAAAATCAGGGGCAAGTGGGTTTAAACATTTTCAACTATGTGTATTATAAAACTTTTAAGTAAAACTTTATCAGACTGTTGGGTTTCGTAGGTACTCACTGAAAAGCAGGCTCCCATTTTGAGCAGGTTTCAGTGTTACCAATGCAAACACATCACTGGTTTCACTCTTGTAGGAAAGCAAGTGGACAGCTCGAGTTCAAGCTCTCCATCAGGAACACAAGAAAGAGAAGAGCCGGGTAAGATTAAGAAGCCAGGGGGGACTGGGGATGTGGCTCAAGCGGTAACGTGCTCGCCTGGCATGCGCGGGGCACTGGGTTCAATCCTCAGCACCACATAAAAATAAAGATGTTGTGTCCACCGAAAACTGAAAAATAAATATTAAAAAAAAATTCTCTCTCTCTCTCTCTCTCTCTCTCTCTTTAAAAAAAAAAAAAAAAAAAAAAGCAGCAGCAGCAGCCAGGGGCCTCTAACTGGGTCTTTTTTGTATGTTTATCTGGTATGGTGCTGGAGTTGGAGCCCAGGGCCTTGCACAGGCCAAGCAGGCACTCTGCCATGGCACCACACCCCAGCCCCAAGTGGATCATTTTTGGAAAGAATATCTACTTCTTTATAGGAAGGTAATATTTGTCTGCCTAGCACTTGTGGAGAAATGGGTAAAACTAAAATTACTTTTAATTCTAATACCAAAGATAACCACAGCTACTAATCTTGATATAATTTCTTTCTACTGCTCTTATAGACCCTATAAAGACATTCCACAAAACACTTGTAGAACATTCTAGAGGAACTTTACTGGGAAAGTTAGTTGATCTAATTTCAAAATTGTATCATTGCTAGAAAAGGAAATAGGAATCATAATTTTTCTTTTGCTATTTGTAATACCAGTTAGTCATGTAAGTAACCTATAGTATTCACACACACACACGTGACAGGCACATGTACTCATATGGTGGTCTTTATAGACTGGAAATTGTAAGAGCAATGCCGTGATTCAGTTCAGGAAATGTTCAGGAGATATTTCCTGAGCATCTTCTACAAATTGCACTCTATAGGGTTGAAAGAGGTAGGAAACCATCTCTGCCCTCAGGGATTAGTACTTGACTGTAGTACAGTAGGAAGTGAGGGTACAAAGAGCTGAGGGGAGGACTGAGGTGAGTCCTGGGAAAATGGCTATGGAGTGCCCTAGGGATTGAACAGTGGGTAACTTGGGAATGGTGCTGTCTGTGGACAGTACCCTGGGTATTTCTCCCTTCTGAGCTCCAGGTAAGGCAGCCAGCTTGCACTGACATGTCCACAGGCTTCTTAGGCGTAACAGGTCAAAAATGCAGTTCTTGGGCTTGTTCCCATGTGGTACATGGCACCCTAGTTCCCCCAGACTAACATTGTTCCCTCTCTCTCCCTCAGTCCCCAGTCACAGGCCATCAGCAGGCCTGTCATGGATCTTGCCTCCCTGTTTTCCACATATCCATAGCCTCTACCTTTAGCCCAGCCTCCATCATTCCTAGAACCCCCAAACTGGTCTTTGCAGTTCTAGCTTTCCCCTTACTTTACATGCTCCCTAAAGAGCAGGTAAAATAATCTGGCCGCTGGCTACCACTGCTTGTTTCCCTCTCTAAACCTGCCCTTTCTAGGTATGATGGCCTTCTGATAATTTCTAGAATATTCTGGTCTTTTTTTAACATGTGGAAAGCCCTTCTCCTTGCTCTTCACCTGGCTGGTTCCTTCCCCTTCAGATTAGTTTTCTGTTCTTTGTGGCAGATTACTACAAATTTAGTGGTCTGAAATCACCCATTTATCATCTCACAGTTTCCATGGTAGAAGAGACCAGGCATGGCTTGGCTGGGTCCACTGCTCAGGGACAATGAATGGCAGCTGGGCTGTATTCTCCTCTACAGCCCACCATGGTAAATGCTTGGTCAAAACTCTGAGCTCCTAGAGGCTATCACTGTCCACAGCAGTTCTCAACATGGCTGTCGACCTCTTGAAGGCTGGCTGGAGAGTTTCCTGCTTTCATTCTCCTCTTCAGGAAAACACTGGAACTTCTTTTAAAAGGCTCCCTAACCAAGACAGGCACACACAGGAAAATCTTTCTTTTCATTAGCTTGAAGTCAGCAGATTGAGATTTTTAACTATATCTGCAAATAACCTTCATCTCTGCTGTCTTGTTAGAAGCACAAGGTCAGTTCCACCCAACCCACAGGACAGGGACCACTCTGGGCATGTATGCTCTTGAGGGCCTTGTTAGAATCCTGCTTGCCACACCCTCCTTGGCCTCATTGTCATGACTTCACAAACATAGCTCTGATCACTATTTTAAATCTTTTTTTTTTTTAAATTTACTTGTTTATTGTCTGTCTCTCCTTGTTCTGAGAAGAGCTCTATCTACTGAGCTCCCCCTTATCTTCCCAGCATCCACTAATGTGTTTAAAATGTGGATGGGGCTCATTCAGTACTTGATGAAGGAAGGCTGGAGGTAGCTGGTTGCCTGCAAGGGGATCATGCAGCCCTGTTTCTGTAGACAGAGAGACACTAATTGTAGGGTTCAGAAGAGCAGGGTCAACTATGTTATCTGTAAGTACGGTCCCTGCTGTGGGAAGGACACTAGGCTGGCTTTCAGTACTGGGCTAAGGGAGGCATTGCTCATGGCAGTGCCCATGTGGTCAGGATGATGGGGTTGACCTGCAGGTTTTATCTGTGGACCTCAGCAGCAGTGGCTGACAGTTGCTCCTCACCATACATGGATCCATTGTGTAAGCAGTGTCTTCTGTTGTACCTCTGTGTCACACGGAAGTACAAGTGGCCCGTTGTTTCAGTTCCTGTGGTGGTGTGTTGGAGCTGGCCCATGCTTGCTTGCTCAAAAGTGTGCACATCTTCTTGATCAGGGTTGTTTTTGTTATTTTGAGTGATGGTTGACCAGCACAGTACTGGGAAACATTGGTATTTGTGGTAACCGCATATTTAATCCTTCTGTTATCCATTTTGCAGATGAGGAAACTGCCTTGCCCAGCAGTGCTGGACTTGAATCCAGACCTGTGTACTCCAGGGCCTGGGCTGGTGCTCCACACTTTCTGGCTCACCTCTCATGCTTCAGGGACTGAGCCAGTGGAGACAGGACAGGCAGGGAGTGTGGGGAGTGACTGTTTTCTGTAAGGACAACGGATATGTCTTCCACGTTGCTGAGGTCATAGTTCCTAACCAAGGATGCCCTTCAGAGTGACCTAAGAATCTTCTAAAATACCTATGCCTGGCTCCACTCATTAGATTCTGATTCGGTAGGTAAATCTGGGAGTGCGTATTTTAGAAAAAAAACAAAATCCCAACAACCCAGGCGATTCGGTTTTGGATGATTAAAGTTCCTATTCTTCAAGGTACCACTGGGTTTAGGCAACTGTCCATTTAGGTCTACTTCTGAATGGGGGGCATTTTAAAATCCTTGCCCCTTCTGAGCCTGCTGTGTTCCAGGCAGTTTCAAGCCTTCAGCGTGAGCTGTATATGAGCTGCCATTTCAAACACTTTCTCAGTGCAAGCTGTGATAGGCTGTTGGCACGTGGAGGAAGGAAGCCAGGCCTTCCCGGCTCCAAGAGAAGTGTGTGGCCTCAGGGCCGCCAGGCTGCGCTGTCCCCTGTCTTCTGGTCTGGCTGTTGAGAAGCTGTTTCTCTTCCTTCTCTTAAATCCTGACAGAGAGGTAAATTCAATCAGGTTCAGCAATCTCTGCCCAAGACCTAACTATTAATTATTCCACATGATTGGTGCCTCCTATTCTCACAATGCACATATTGTGTTTCTCTGTTTAGGGGAAGTTGCCTTTGCCAGCTTTTTATTGCTTTACCTAGATTCTTGGCAGTCTTTTTTAAAAATAACACTGGTGAGAGTTCAGAAGCAGTCACAGATAAGCGATGGCATACCCTTTGGACCCAGCAGAATACATCTGAAAGCTTGGGAGGGTGCAGAATGGTCCTGCCATGAAAGGGAAGGTGGAGGGCCGATGTGCATGGGTAGAGAGAAAAGCGCAGAGCTCAGATGGTAGCGCATGAGAAAATGGGCTCCAGGGGGCCACATGCTTTTTGAAATAGCATCTGACTCAGACTCTCCACATTCCTCTCCTAGTGCCTTTCTAGACTTAATTCCAGAATCAAAATGATGTCATCCCTTGGTTTTTCCTGCATTCCCTTGCTTTTAGGGGCTTAGAGTGACTCCTCAAATTGTTGATCTGGGTCCAAGATCTTAAACTCCACCCAGAGCTCTGACCATTTTTACTGATCTTTCTTTTCGATTTCTGGCTCAGCCTTTTCCAAACTGCTTTTGGGGACGCACTTCCAGGGGTCCATAAAAGTACACTGAAGGTGACAAGTCCTTGACAGTGTCCTCCGTGGGGGGATTCTTAGGATCCATCAGGCTATGAAAGGTTCTTTTCAAGCTTCACTCAGAAAATCTTCCCAGCATGCTTCCACTGTGTGTTTATCCAGGCTCAGAGAAGCACAGACCACGTCAAGGGGTGAGACCATGCCCTGCAGGGAAGGAGAGCATTGACACTGGAGCTGGACGTGGAAGTTCAAAGTCTGGGCTCCACCCGCTCCAGCTGTCTGAATCTGGGCCATTTCTTTTACTTCTCTAGACTCGAATTTCCCCATTTGTACAAGGAGGCCGGAACCCATATCTGTAATATTTGTGGTGTGAGTGAAGCAAGACAGAATGCTTCACACAGTGTCTAGCACATAGTGAGTGTTGATTTTTAAAAAGGCAAGTTAGGAAACACTGATCTGGAGGCTCTTAAAACCACAGATCAGACCCGGATAACTGTCAGTCCTATTGATTGGCACACCTGGCTCCACGTCCAGGCCTCAGACTTAGAATGTCCTTAGCCCCAGTCACCAAACTTTTGAATTCACCCCTCTGTTTAAACAACTATTGAAATTGCTTTAAGACCCTCCCCCTAAATTATCAAAAACAAATTCTTGGATTCTTTGTGCTCAGTATATGATCTTCCCTAGCATTGAGTCTCTAAAGATAAACCTACTGGTGTTTCTTTCATCTCCCTTTCYCCCCCCCCCCCCATCCATACCTTTCTCCTTCCTTCTTCTTTACTCAACTCCCAACGCCCCCTCCATTTCTCAGGAAATATTTATTGAGAGCATGGATTGTTGCTGGGTGCTAATAGGGAATATAAAAATAATTCAGATGCACTCTCTGGCACAGGAAACGCTCATTTTTAAGCTGAGGTGACACATGGGAACATGAGGAGCTCAGTGAGGAGGGTGGGTAGTGCTCTGGGAGAGAAGCCTTCACCTTGTCACTGTGCCTACATCTGCTGTTTCATGTCCTGTGCTCAAGTTGGTGCAGCTGCTCCCATTATCAGTTCTGTCTTAGGTTATGAGCTCCCTGGGAAGAGATAAAGCACCTAGGACAGCCAGGGCCTTGGTACACAGTGCTAGAAATTTATTCAGTGACTTGATGTGCACAGATAGCAAGGCCAGCTATAAGTCAAGGGGTGTACATCACATTCATGGGAAGAATTTATAATAAGCAGCTTGCAGACAGATGCCCTTCTTAATTTCTTTTTCAGCTTCTGTCACATATAGAGAAACTTCGAACCTCCATGATAGATGATCTAAATACAAGCAATGTTTTCTACMAGAAAAGAATAGAAGAACTAGGCCAGAGACTCCAGGAGCAAAACGAACTGATTATCACTCAGAGGCAGCAGGTAAGCTGGCAATAGCCTGGTATCAGGCTTCTTCAAGCAACATGATTTATCCTAAGAGCATGAGTTTTTAGTTTAGAGCATTTTTTAAAATTGTATATGGTAATGAAGGTGGAATATTTTCTCCTTGTGATTGATTGCTTGTAACACAATATAAAAAAATTAAAGATATTTGAAAATCACCATATGGAGCAGATTTATTCATTTAAAATTCAGAATAAATTTGAAGATAGATAATAATTTCTTTGGTAATTACTTTGGAAAACAGCCAAGTCCAAATACACTATTTTGGTAAAAACTTTTGCCTGGGTGCTTTTTTGTTTGTTTGTTTGTTTTTTTGGTACTGAGGATTGAACTCAGGCTCACTCAACCACTGAGCCACATCCCCAGCCCTATTTTGTATTTTATTTAGAGTCAGGGTCTCACTGAGTTTCTTAATGCCTCACTTTTGCTGAGGCTGGCTTTGAACTTGTGATCCTCCTGCCTCAGCCCACGTTACTATGATTATAGGCATGTGCCATCATGCCCGGCTGCCTCAGTGCTTTTAAGGTCCATGTACTCTCTGAATAATTTAGCAAAAAGTTAATGTCCTAACAACCACATCTACACATTATCTCATCTGTCCCTATTGAGTTTTGAATATGCATCACTAGAAGACTGTTTTTCTTTGCAGATTAAAGAGTTTACCAATAAACCATTAAGCAGTGTCAGTGAACCCAAAGGTGAGTGGACAGGATCCCCTTGCTAGAGGTGAGGTGTCTTGTGCTCTGGGCACAGATGCATATGGGCTCTGCTGGCTCATGGGTGCTGAGGTGGCATTCCTCTTACTGTTAGGGATATCTGTCTTCTTCTTATGTTCATATTTGGGAGATTTGTTAGCACAACCCAGAAAGTTGAAGAATTTAAAAAATCTAAATTGTCACATTGAATGGTTTCACTTTTTTATATCAGAATACAATTATGCATATAATAACCTGCTCAGTAACCATTGTATACCAGAGGACAGAGTTGTGATTAAAGCACAGGGTCTGGAGGTGGCTTGGGTTCAACTCCATCTCTGACACTTTATTGTATGATTCTCTGCTCAGTTTTCTCAGCTCCAATATTAATAATGACCATACCATAGGTTTGTTATAGGATTAAATGGGATAACATGTGAATATGTGTGAAGTACAACTGTTTAGCACTCCTCAGTGTTAGCCATTATGATTGATATTAAACACCTAATTATTCTCAATTACTCTAAAGACTTGCTTCATTATTCTCAATTGTGGCAGTTTGGGGTTAAAGGTTGGTTCTAAACCTGATTGGGGTTTATGAAACCTACCAGTTGTAGCAGTGATAGCTCATACATCTCATATCACCCTAGAGCTAGACCAGAAGGGAGACTGGTGCCCTGATCATGAAGCCTAAAAGCTTGACTTCTACCTGGCTTCCTTCACCAAGATTCCAGTCCTGCTTCTTGAACATCTAGGATTGTTAAAGAATCTTTGCCTCCCTGAAAGACACCAGCTGGGGTTTGGTACTATGGTATATTAGCGGGGCTTCCTTCCCTCTTGTTTTGAGATAAAGGATTGGAGGTGAAAAGGTATGGTTTCCTGTAACTTCTCTTGAAAGAGAGCAAGCTCAGGTAGTGAGGGGTACCCATAATTTCTCTTGAAAGAGAGCAATCTCAGGTAGTGAGGGGTACCCATATTATTGCTTAGGTATCATTACTGTTTGAAAGTATTTCTAGAGAAAATTTAATTTTAAAAAAAGATTCATATTAAATATATTTATTCTGTTGGGTGAGGTGTTTGATTAAATTTCATTTATTGTTTTCCTGGGAGAGAAAAACTAGGGTAAGGGCTGCCAAAATTTATTCCATTTCTTGTGATTTTTGTTACTAACTTTTTTTTTTTTTTTTTCCATTTCAGGGAATTCTTTAGCTTGGCAAACTTTTGAATCCAAGCCAGTTGCCCCAGCTGTACCTAGTAAGTTTCTCCAATGGCCCAGAGCTCTAAAGTATCTTTAAAATGCTAAGCCAAAACACAACTTTTACTTGTTATTTTTAGAGAATTGTCTGCATTTGGAGATTGCCTAATGATTTCTTTTGATTCTTGGCTTTGACCTTGTTCTGAAACCCAGGTTGTAAATGTCACACGATCTTGGTGGGGATTTTGGTTAGTTATACCATTATTTTGCAATTTGTCTTATAAAGGGATGATTAAAAATTCTTTGGCATCACTCTAGAGTATAGTTTTGGATTTCCCAGGGTGATCTGTTCTATGACTATGTGACCAGGAGTGGTAGCTGCCATCTTTTTGCATGGCCAAGACTCTCACTGCTGCAGCCTTTGAATAGGTATCCACTGGTCCTTACTTGTGATCAGCTTGACCATCTGGTTTGTCTCCTGGAACTCTTGAGATTTTAGAAACAAACTTCTTTTTTTTTAATATTTATTTTTTAGTTCTCGGCGGACACAACATCTTTGTTGGTATGTGGTGCTGAGGATCGAACCCGGGCCGCACGCATGCCAGGCGAGCGCGCTACCGCTTGAGCCACATCCCCAGCCCTAGAAACAAACTTTAAAAATCATAGTTAAATACCTGAAATATTTTTATTTCCATTCAGGAAAATAAGGGTGAGGAAAAGAGCTACTGGTGAGGGAAGTAAGGGAGTAGGTGATGGGGCAGGAAGACAGACGTGTGCGTGCACAGGAGTTTGGTGCATTGGAGGACCTGGTAACAAGGCTGGGCACTGAGCCCTCATGGGCCCAGGAATCTCTAGAGGGATGTGTCATGACCAGAGAATATTAATGAGTATGTTTTGAAATTTGGTACAGTTGATTGGAAAATACAAATAGTTTCAACCACTCAGTGTTCTCAGGCACATCTCGTAGCTGAAGAGGTTAGAAGGTAGTGGGGAGGGAAGAAGGCCTAGTGCCAAGAAAAGGGCTGGGGGAGGAAAAGATTCTCTTCGAAAGAAAAGAACACACACACACATTTCAGGAAAGGTTAAAAGACAGTTATGAAACAAATAAAAAAATTTTCACTAGCTAACTAAACTTAAACACACAAACAGGAAAAAAAAAAACCTAATGTTTTATTTAGTTAGGGTGATTTTTCTCTAAATGGTATGTTAAGATGATGTGAGTTATACAACATGATCTACTGGGATATAGGAAAGAAGTTATTAGAACTTCTTTTTATATATTAACTAATCCTTTTAATTTTTTTCAAATACTTTTGTTTTAAAATGTATATAATACTTGTAGTATACATAAAATAGTAATCCCAGTGGCTTGGGAGCTGAAGCGGGAGGATTGCAAGTTCAAAGTCAGCCTCAGCAACCACAAGGTGCTAAACAACTCAGTGAGACCCTGTCTCTAAATTAAAAAATTCAAAATAGGGATGGGGATGTGGTAGAGTACCTCTGAGTTCAATGCCTGGTACCAAAAAAAAAAAAAAAAGTATATTTTTAAATAAATATGTATATCAGAGAGATAATTTTACTGATGAGACATTTGGTCAAGAGCGTGGATGCTACTGGCTCTAGAGAATTCCAGAAAAAAAACAATTTTACCTATAGCCCATATGTAAGAATCCCTTCCTGAGTGTATCCTTTGTGCTTCATGACAAGGAGGCAAGAGGGGCTGCTAGTCCCCAGTCTTGCTCCCAGCATGGAAGAAGACCTGAAAGCTGAGGTTCTGAGAATGGTGGGGAAGTTCTCTTTACTAAGAGAACACACTCCAAAGTTTGAGACCAGAAAATCCAGATCATAAAATGAAAGAGTTTAGGAGGTATACAGCAAGTAAATCAGACCCATACTCAGCAAAATGAAGGATTTCTAATGTCTAATGTAAGGTGGGCCTCACTAGTGTGCACTCACAGTGACTTAGACCCTAGTCAGGCATTTCAGACCTGATTTACTCTCCTCCCATCATAAGGGACTGAATTCAAATGCTAGGAAGAAGACCCAGATGTGATTAATTGTAACAAGATCAGCTCTTTGGATTCTGTAAGCTGAAATAATATTAAATCAGAAAGAGTCAATGTTCTGTTTTTTTCTTTTTCTGTAAAGAGCTAGATATTGACCATTTTAGGCTTTATGAGCTAGATACTCTCTTCGCATCTACTCAACTCTGATGTTGCAGTACCAAACCAGCCACATGCAATACTTAAATGAATGTTTTAATAAAACTTTATTTACAAAAGCAAGCAGTAGGCTGTATATGCACCACAGGCTGTAGTTTGCTGTAGTTTAACAAACCTTGATCTAGATGATGCAAATTGAAAATGAGTTTGAAGGCCATGTTTCCAGAGTTGTTACCAATTTACAGATGGTAAGGAGTGGAACACTTTCCCCAGTAGCCATTATAAAGACAAAAAATATATAGAATCCTTCGGAGGTAACTGAAGTTATAGCCAATATTTTTTAGGATAAGATTAGGATTAAAGATCTATCTTAATAGAAAAAGAGCTAGTAAACTAATAGGAAAACTGTTTAGATGAAAGCAGACTGAATAATTAAATAATCCAGAGAGGACCTTTAGGTAAGAATTGTCAAATATTGGAAGGGAGACTGAGGCATCTAATTTTCTGGAGACATTTAAGATAGATAGCATTTGGTCTTCCTTGAAGGGGGTATACCCCTGTCTAAAGGCTGTGGCTGTATTAATTCCTCACATGGTGTCTTCTAGCCAGTGCTTGGAGGATTTTTCTTTCTTTCTTTTAATTTGTTCTTTTTATATGATTGTTGAATGTATTTTGACATATCATACATACATGGAGTATAACGTCCCATTATTGTGGTTGTACATGATATGGAGTTACACTGGTTGTGTATTCATATATGAACATAGGAAAGTTATGTCTGATTCATTCTACTGTCTTTCCTATTCCCATCCTCCCTCCCTTCCCCTCGCCCCTCCATCCAATCTGGTGAACCTCCACTCCCCGCCCCCCGCACCCCATCTATTGTGAGTCAGCATCCATATATCAGGAAGAACATTCAGCCTTTGGTTTTCTGGGATTGGCTTATTTCACTTAGCACGATACTCCCCAGTTCCATCCCTTTACTGGTAAATGCCATAATTTAATTTTTTTTAAAATACATTTTTAGTTGTAGATGGACCTTTGTTTATTTTTATGTGGTGGTGAGAATCAAACACAGTGCCTTATACATGCTAGGCAAGCACTCTGCCACTGAGCTACAACCCCAGCCCAATTTCATTCTTCTTTATAGCTAATATCCCATTGTGTATATGTACCACATTTTCTTTATCCATTTATCTAATGAAGGGCACCTGGGTTGGTTCCATAGTTTACTATGAATGTTGATGTGGACTGTGTCACTCTAGTATGCTGATTTTAAGTCCTTTGGGTATATACTGAAGAGTGGATAACTGGGTCAAATGGTGGTTCCATTCTAAGTTTTTTGAGGAATTGGGGGATTTTTAAATTGGTTTATTGTACCTGAATATCCATTGCAGATTGTTCTGATAGCCCCAAACTGAAAACAACCTAAATGTTCATCAACTAATGAATAAATAAAAATTTGTTCTATCTATATAATGGAATGTCATTCAGCCATAAAAGTTTATGCTGAAATTGACACATGGCTACATGGGTGAACCTGAAAACATGATGCTAAGTGAAAGAAGCTAGGCACAAAAGACTGTATAGTTCCATGCACAGGAATTATCCAGAAAGGGCAATCATAGAAACACAAAGTAGATTGAGTTTTTGCCAGAGGCTGGGGATGAGGCATGATGGTTATTGGGACAGGTATTTGAGGATAAGGTGATGAAAATGTTCTGAAATGAGTTGGTGGTTATGGTTGCCCAGCCCTGTGACTATACTGAATTATGTATTGTAAAAAAGAGGGGTTAAATCTCAATAAATCTTTTATAAATTGGGTTAGGTTAGTTGTGCAGTATCTGTCACTTGAAACACTTGTCCCTTGAGGTCTTGTATGTGTCTTGATTGTTTTGAGGAGAATTTGGTCATCATCATGTTCGGATGGTTACACTGTAACTATAGAGCCAGTGAGCTTTTTCCTTCTTATCCTGTTTCAGTGAATGCCTCCGTCTCTCAGACTTTAGAAGCTAAATCAAGTCTAACAATGGCACATGGTAAGCCTCAGCATTTTATGTGCAGTTTCCACCCTGAATTAGGTAACTTATTAACCCAAAGTGCTGGGAAGAGGGGAATTAGGCAGAACATTTTGGGGATTACAGAACAGTTCTGCCTTCATATGTCAGGAGGTAATGTATACATGTATAAATATGTCATGTTGTTGCAAACTGAGCATACCTACCAACCATAAAGTATTGTGTATGTTGTGGGACTTGCAAAAGCAATTTTAACTGGCTGGTGCTTTGACTATTTATGATTTTTGCAGAAAGTAACAGGTATTTAGTAAGAGTGAGGGTGACTTGGTCCCAGACCAGCCAACCAGCACATGCCACAGGGCATATGTGGTTGTTTTTATAACTTTCAGTGTGGCAGCAACTCACCCTTTTTAGATCAACAGTTTCAGTGATTGGTTAGGAAAATCTAGAAAAGACATGTGAGAGAAATCAAAGGAAATAGGTGAGATGAAATTTCATTGGATGAAATTGTTGCCAGGATTCATTTCTTGGATCAGGCCCAAAAGGGTGCTAATTGTTATTAACAAGATTCTGTAGATGGGGAGAATATCTGTAGATAAATTTCACATTTTATACCATTAAAGGGCTTACAGTTTTCAGAATATGTTCTCTAGTATATTTTTTTCCTGTGGCCGACTCTATATCACTAATGAATCAAAAGAGGAGGAGGACTATCTTTTTCCTGCCTTACCTACATATTGCTTTGGAATCTAATAATTACTTACTTCACTATACTTTGGGTTTTGGCCTTTTAAAAGATTAGATTTAAATCAGTGATCTAATTGGAGTTTTTTTCACAGTTATTCCAATCCATATATGATGGTCCTTAGTAATGATCCTTTTTACCCATAGCTCACATATGAAGTATTTATTGATTTCACCTGATTTTTCTCTTAGATAATTTCAGGTAGACCAGTTATCTTGATCTCAGTAGGTAATGTATAAATTCTCTAGATATCAGATCACATATGTACAAGTGTTTAGAACATACAGGCCTTTTCCCTTGGACTGGTAGCAGATGAAATGCATGTTGGACATAAACAAATTTGCTTTAATATTGAATGTACAAGAAATTTATCTTTGGCAATCATTCTTTGTTCACATTATTTTATGTTAGGCCTACAGTTTCTCTGTTGCCACCGTTTTCGGGGTGGATTTTGGTAAGATAGGGCTGCCATTTCTCTTTGAAACTTAGTGTGCTTTAGACCCTTATTCTTTTTTTCTGTTATTGTTGGCCTTCTGATGGCCTTATACAAGGACTTTATATTCTTTGTTGCTCAGGATAGGGCACATGGAATAAGTATGTTAAACTGTTGGGTTTATTGAAGGATCCTTCGGAACCTGTCAGTTCTAAAGCACATACATATTCTGTGTGGACCCTCCCATGATCGACCCAGGACTGTTCATTGCTTCTTCTGGCATCTGCTGGAGTTGAATTGCTGGTTTTAAATGCCACCAGTCCTGGCAAGGGGCCACAGCCCTTGGCTTGGGATCAAAGTGGATTTGTGAGCATGTCAATGGGTGGGAAATAGGAGGTGACTTGGCCAGGGCCCAGTGATGTCTTCCACTGGGCCACCCAACAGCTTTCCCAGCATCGGGCAAGGGGAGGTTAACCATGATTGCATAACATTAAGTTAGCCCATTTGCCCTCCATCTTTTGTTCCATTTTGAACCTTGAGGAATTTCTTCATTATGAAAAATGTCATGATTACTAACCATCTTAGAGTGGATCCCTGGGAACGAGCTCCCAGGTGGAGATTTACAGGTGGGAGGAAACAGGATTGGGCAAGGGGGATGTTGAGCCCACGTGTAGCAGTAGTGGAGGCCTCAGGATTCCTTTGTAGAGCTGAGATGGGCACTCCAGAATGGTCCTACGCTGAGACAAGGGATGGCAAACGACTTGTACCCCTACACTGGTCTGTCACCAAACATGGGCTGCTTTGAGGAGAAGGCAAGCTGCTTTCTCCAGCTGAGGGCGATTCATGTAAGGGACCCGCTGCAGTTGCCATGAGCTAACAGTGCCAGGATTAGGTGTCCTGAAGGCAGGGGTCTAGAAAAAATGGGAACTTTGCTAATTCCCCTGCTTTCAACTTTGCTGCACAAGCTGAACAACATGGACAGTAAGTTCTGATTCTAAGTCAGTCGATAGGGTGAAACATGATCATGCATAATTGCCATTCACTACTGTGTTTTCACTGGGAAAAAAGTCTCAAAATTTTATTAGTATTTTCACCACTGGAGACATATTGCTTATGAAGTTGTAATTAAATTGTGGTATTATAATGGGGGGCTGGGGTTGTGACTCGGTGGTAGAGCACTTGCCTAGCACGTATGAGGCACTGGGTTTGATCCTCAGTACCACATAAAAATAAATAAATAAAACAAAGGTATTGCCTTCATCTACAACTAAAAATAATAATAGTGCCCAGAAAATAAAGTATACTTTGTTGTTAAATCAACCCTCATACCAATTGCTTAGATTGGCTTGATAATATGGACCCTTTTTAGAGTGACCAGGCAAAATGTCCATCTTCTTTTAGCAGTGAGGATGCAAAATAATCATTTTTTCCAAAGCCTACTGGCACCTGCTAAGTTTTATCTACACATAAAAGTCTCCTTTAATTTAGTGTATAGATTACGAGGGGTTTATATATGCCTGACTTTTGTGGTGTAGCTAAGACAAGGGCTATAAAAACAGAAGTTAAAGATGGAGAAGCTGCCCTAAGTCTTTAAGTGTATCCTAATTGGTTTTCAAAAGGCATGAAGTGTTTTTATTAGACTCTATAATTACTATCATAGTTTTCTCTCAGAATAAATTGTTTATATCTCGAGATACTGAAACCTAACACAACACTTTGTTCAAGCAGTAGTTTATTGTTCAATATGTGACAAGTAAAATATTCTAGAGCTCTGGTGTCTTATGGCTCTTACTGGGAAGAAAGATGGCTTTCTGTGAGTGCCATTGACCCAAACAGTGTCAGGGAAGTGGGATGGGCACTATTGAAAGGAATTCTTTATTTAGCAGACTAGGATCTTTTAAATGAGTTCAGGTCTGATCCCTGCCAGGTGAGGTGATCATGGTTCTATGTAATTAATTACAAGGGGAAGTGTTTGCATGTGGCTGATCTCCTGTGTAAAAAGATCTTTAACAAGCTTTTTTTTTTTTCCTTAAAGAAGAGTTTAACATGTCACTTTATAATGTTGCCTTTTCTCCAGCAGTGTCCCATGCCATTCCTGCTTTCCTTCCTATCACAGACCACTGGGCAATGACAGATAGTTATGGGTTGTCCCTCTGTGCAAGCCTAAGACTAGGCACAACAGAGACAGATATGCATGCATTGGAAACAAAGGCTGCCCCCAGGGAACTTAAGTATATTAGGAGAGCAAATGTTTATATTATAGTACAGAGTGAGAACCATTGATAAACTAAATGGGTATCTGGCAAGGGAGAAACTTTCTTCATTCGGGCAACTCTGGATGGGTGGATCAGCTACATTTGGCCATTTGAATTGTGGGTTTGAATGTAAACATGTTGGGATGGCATCCTACATAGGGAAAACAGTAGGAGGGAAAGATAACAGGAAAGCTCTAGACAGAGGTGCAGATTAGTTACTTGGCCAAGCACAGAGAACACAGAAGAGACTTGAGGGAAATCAGGTTGGTGGAGACCCTCATGGCAGCCTACAGCTGACCAAGTTATTTTTGGGGGAGGACATGGTTGCTGAGTGTGCCTGAGGTTGGGCATGCAGAACTGCAGAGCTGGGCTACAGGAAACTGGGCCTGACCAGAGCAGATGAAAGAATCAAAGCTGAGGAGACCAGCTTGGGATGTTGGTGATCTTGAATATAACCTTCCTCCTCCAGGAATCAGGGCCGTACTGATGAGACTGGAGAAGAGGGAGTCAACATAGCAGCTATTTAGTGGAACTGGTACCTTCGAAAATGGCTGGACAGTGGTGCCATTTGGAGAAGTCAGGGAGACATGTCAAGAGAGCACAGCAGGGGCGCATTGGAGCTACATGGCTAAGATTGTGAACTTTGTACAAAGAGTCTAGATTCACAGCCCATTTATTAAAGTGTGGGCTTAGATTTCCTTGCCTGCCCAATGGAGACAATAGTAATGGCTCTCTTAGAGGATCTAATGAGGCATGAGCTACTGAGTCAGCACTGGATAAATGGTAGTTTCTAAGATTGAGATAAGAAATCCAGCCATAAATCAGCCAGTGGGATAAAGGGCAGGGGTAGGAGAGGTCTGGGAGACTTTCTTCTGGGGGTAGGAGAGTGATACAAGGATTTTTCTGGAAGCCTCCAAGTATTTCAGCTCTCAACCTAGAGATCTCAGCTCTGGACAATTACTGGGGCAATGAGAGACATACAGTGGCTTGCACAGCATTAGAGTGCTTCCTTCCTGGCAGCAGCCTCAGCCCATTTGACATGGGAACTGGGGTTTGGTCACCCTTATGTCCCCAACCCTATTGTAGCTACCTAACTTTCCTCCAGAGCTACCCTTTACACCACAGAAGGGAACAGGTCAGAACTCTGACAGTTTATCCTGTCCCTAGAGAAACAAGTCATAGAGTGTCCTACTAATATAATGACAGTAAATACATGTTCACTGATTTTGTGAAGATTTTACCCAGATTTTCCTCATAAATAATTTTTGTCATTTTCATTAAGTACAGTAAAATACAAAATGTGACTTTTTAAAAACTGAAATTAGCTGTCCTCTGTAAATCTCTATTCTCAGTAGTTCAAACTTGTAAAATAGCCTATTTGCACAATTTTAATATCTAGATGCTGAATAACAAATTTGAAAGACACATTTTTGGTGTTCCTGGATGAAATTAAATTCATGCTCTTTCAAGGAGCTGTGTCTGTGTTTCAAAATTAAAGTGATCTCCTATTTAGTAGAAGGTTCATTTGAAAGTGGTTTAAAATGCATTTCTTCCCTACAGACAATGTTAGATATGTTGACTGGGTTCCTGGCCAAGCTACAGAAGCCCATTTATATATAACTAAATCTGTCTACTCATCTGTCTCTCCATCCTCTCATCCATCCATCCACCCATCTGAAATAAGAGTACCAAAAATACATTTGAATAAATTAACAATCAGATTCTCCAAGTAGGAGGGTTAGATCGTGATACCTTAGATCCATGCCTAGCCACCTAAGGAGGACTCAGTATCTACTGGTGCCTGGGGTAAGAATGAAATGACCTTCCCTTGGGATGAAAGTGGAATGCTACATGGGGAAGTGCTCTGTGTCAAGCTGAGGGTGAGTGAGCCATGCTCCATGTAGTTCAGACTTGCTGGTTGACCTTATCTCACGACTCCTATCTGACCACCGTGGTTACACTTTGGCCCAAATCTGACCTTGCCTGTGAAGGAAATGTCTCTCCATTTCTAGAGCGGGGCTTTATTTTAGTCCTGCCGCTGGCAGGTAATGTTTCCCTAGGAAAAGTCACCCAGAGAGCTCACCTCCCACAAATGCAACGGAAATTTCAGTGAGATTGGGAGCAGCGCTGCTTCACTTGCCTATCAAATGAAATATTTTCATTCATTTTCTATTTCTAAATTTTCTATTCAGACATCCAATCAAAACATTCTATAAATAATGAAAATCTTCTGCATTTGTACCCTTTTGTATTCACACAGACTCCTTTCAGACACCAGCTTGATGAATGAGAAACTTTAACTTAATTATTTAAAAATATAATTTCCTTAGGGTGGAGTTAATAGAAAATACATAAAAATATAGAAGATTTTGTGAAAAAGTGACCAGTTTTAACTGACTGCCTTGATATTTTTTCCCAGTAAATTATTGGCATTTAGGCATGACTAAAACATGGTGGAATTATATCTTTTGAAATGGTTTGAAAGGAAACTAATGTGACTTTACTGTTGTCCTGTTTGTTCTGTTCTTGTTTTTCCTCATTAATAGAACAGGCATTCTCGTCACACGTACTGGAACCCATAGAAGAACTTTCAGAAGAAGAAAAAGGTAACCAAGGACTTGATTAGGGTTTATCTGCATAAATTGTATGAATATGCTAAAACCCAAGCCCTGAAAATACGTGCCAGTGGTTTATATTTGCATGAATATCCTAATTTCTAATTCTGTATTAAAATCAGGAAGACATGTAGATTACATTTTCAACTTATATATAATATGCTATTACCTTATTCTTCCTGTGCTGTTACCCTATTCCTCTAATGCTTTGCAAGAGTAAAATCTTACGCAAACAGATGAATAAGTTTCCTATGTTAGGAAATAAAAAAATTTAGGTCTTTATTTCAATACAGATATTTTCTGATCAGATGACAAGCTGACACACATGCTGTATACCAGATGATGGGGAAATATTTGTTCCAGAGTGGTGGTGATTTCTCATACTATGAATCTGAAATGAATGGATAAAGTGGCTATTTCCAAATTCTTTTAAATATGAAGACAAGCATAGTATCTAAACTCTGGATATAGAATATTTATGTGTAAAATAATATCTTCTTGGTAGAATAAGAGCTGTCACAGGTTTGGGGAGATTTAAAATTACTACTGCTTACTCAGTTATTTGGCAGTTGTAAAAATTATTTTCTATGATTTAATTTTTGAAGTTTATGAAAAAATGTGTAATTATACTGTATATTTCCTTAATGTTAGGGCAGTAGATCCTGAAAACTCTTATATGTTTGAATCAGTTTATCATAATTTTTTCCTTATTAACAATACTTTACCAAATATCACTTCCTTAGGAGAAAGCAAATTGGTAACACATACACAGGTTCTAGTTTTGTCATTTTTGTACAGGAAGAGAAGTAAAAAAAACCCTCAATATTGCTTATTAGTGCCTATAGTCTCTAGAATTTTACAAAAATACCTTTTAACAAGGCTACAAACAGAATTGACTAAATCAGGAGTTTCATAAAATTTACATAATGTATATTTTAAAGTCTTGGGCTTGCCATGTTAATCATCAGTCCTTTATAAAAACATATATTTTTAAATATTTACTTTGTAGTTGTACCTTTATTTAATTTATTTTTTTGTGGTGCTGAGGATTGAAACCTAGGGCCTCATATGTGCTAGGAGAACATTCTACTCCTGAGCTACAACTCCAGCCCTTAAAAGTATTTTAATGGAATTTGTTTATATTGCTTCTGTGTGCCTTTGCAATTTGTCTTGACTTTCTCTATGTTAGAGTGGCTTAGGATATCATATTTCCTAAGTAATGACTCATAGTTAGCACTTATTTTGAAAAGCATTATTTTAGTTGCTTCATTTCTTTTAAATTTCTTTGTCATTGCTGTTAAAGTGTTTTAGAAATCTGTTTATTTTAGAAACAAGAGTATAGATACATTAAATTGCAATAAAGCCATACAAAGTTGTTGAGAGGAATTTGTGGGTACTCTAATGAGCATGTCTTTGAAAGATATTGCCACCCTTTTAGGGGATGTTTGCCTTGTTGCATTGTCAGAGAAAGAAGGAGGAGTTGTCGATAGCAATTATTTATTTTATTTCATTTTTTTAGAGAAAGAGAGAATTTTTTTTAATATTTATTTTTTAGTTTTCAGCAGACACAATATCTTTGTTTATTTGTGGTGCTAAGGATCGAACCCGGGCCCCACGCATGCCAGGCAAGCATGCTACCGCTTGAGCCACATCCCGAGCCTGATAGCAATTATTTTGAGCAGCCTTCAGGATGCCCACAGCCCAGATGTTGAACTTGAGGCCTGCAAGGACAGGCTGATATTTGTTTGAGCTACACTATTAGAAATGATTTTACTATCAGTTGCCATTATTTTGCATGAATATCTTAATTTCTGACATCTCTTGAAAAAATGGAAACCTTGGGGTGCATGGTCCACTTGACAGCATTTAGCTGGACTGAGTAACAGCCACTGGCTCTATAGGTAAAAGAAAACGGTGCTTTAAAACATTGTCTTTAAGTGATTTTCGACTATCCCTGCTGGCTTCCTAGAAACAGGATGAACAAATTTTACCCTATTTGAGTTCTGAATAATGATGTATCATTTTACTTGCAAGTAACATATTCTTCTGTCCTACTTGTGTATTGTTATATGTCCAAGACATAAAATCCCTTTTTCTTTGAAGAAATTGGGAAATGTGTTCGGAGGTTCACAGAAAGGGTCACCTAATTTCAAAACCAGAACTTGGTCATATAGCTAGTGCATTTAAAAAACAAGTGAGTGAGGTCTTCTCTTGGAGTTGTGACCTCTCCACCATCACCCAGATGGCTCTCTTGATTTGCAGTTCCAGGTTCTACCCATGGCATCATCCTGTTTATGCTCTTAGAGTTCTTCTACCCAATGTAAGTTTCAGATCATTGCTAGCAGACATCATTGGTCATTACCATGTGGGCATCAGTGTTGCCATCACTGGTTGCTGGGGAACTGGACTGGGAAAGAATACAATCTTTGCCACCCCCCATGTGTTTAGACACAGATCTGATGGGAAACAGGAAAGTGCTCAGGACCTCAGAAAACACACAAGTCCCAAGTGCTGTAGAAAACCAGTGATTGCCTCCTTTTAGCACCTCTATGGTGTCTGCATGCTGGTAACAGATTAATCGCCATCAATAAATTCCTCAGCTTGTGTCATTTTGCAGATAAACGCTAGTAGAGCTAGATTTTGACAGTAGTTTGCAAAAGACAGTATGGCTGTTAGTAAGAAGTAACTCAACACAGGAACATTTCTGTGTACTTGCTTTTTGACAGTTGTGTAGAGGCATATTCAGCTTTGCTGTTTTTTAGGATATTGGAGTGTGAAAACTAGGAGGGATCTTTAAAGGCTATTTTGTTTTTCAAAAACTTGAAACACAGGAGGGTCAGAAAGCTGCCCCAGGTTTCTGAATATAGTGAATGGGCTCGAACTAAAATCCAGATGTTCTGCTTTCTGTAGTTTAAAGCAAAGAACAAATAAAGGGAAGTTGGTATGGCTCTGCAAGACTAACTGGGTGGCCTCTGGGGAAGTCTGATCTCCTTGTGAAAAATAAGGAAGGTTGTTGCTAGTTAGTAGATAAAGCCCTTTGCAACTCAGGAATTCTACTTTGCACTATAATTACTTATCATGAATGGTCTGTTGTATGTATGGTGTAACTGATCACATGTATGGGCTGTTGTGCTTTTGCCTGGCCATCTGCTCACATGTGTTTAAATTTTATATGGGAGGAAATGCTGATCTCTGGAAAGTTTTGTCTTGGTCTTGGTGAGCAATATGTGCTTTAACTAACATCTTCACCTCTGTTGTTTTTTTAAGCAATTAATTCTACCTCTAACTTTTTAATTTTTTTTTTCCCTTGTCCACTCTACATTCTTTCTCTTGCTCCCATCAGCCAGCCTCAGCCTTGAAAGAATCCCTACCAAGGGCTTCCCAAAGCAGTCACCAATATATAAAGTGGGTTTGAGGACAAAGGGAAAAGTTCATTTACCTTACATCATTGAAATGAACTTGTCATCAGGTTTGAGGGTAACTCCAGACTTTAGCAAATGAATGCAACAACTGATAACAAAGGCTGTTGGGACTCTTTTAAAATGTGGCTAAGCAGTTGTAGACATTGCTTAATTTTTACACAAGACCCACATCCCAGAGTAAACATGGCCCAGAGCCTCTGTTTAGGCCATGTTTCTTCCTTTTTATATCTGAGACACTGGCCAATAAATTATTCTTGCAGTTTGGGTCAGGTTTGTATCTATTTCAGTGACCCCAGTCTCTTTCTAGGTGCCTTTTATTTTTAGCCCTTGATGGTTGCAGACTTCGATGACCAACTAGAAGACATAGTCAGTAACATTGGCTGCAGCTAAGCTATTTAGATTTTGATGATTGTCCGTCAGTTCCTAGTACAGAAGTGCTTACTTTTTTTTTTTTTTTTTGAAACATTGGTGGTTAGTCAAGCAGCATGAATGTTGAGGATATTAAAATTAAAGATGACTTCTGACTTTTAATCATATGTAATTTTTAATTGCAGTTTAGCAGGCTGGAATAGCAAAGTATATAAAAGTGTCTTTATGCAGGGCTTTTCTTTTTCCCTCCTATTGAATGTACAAATAGTGATTTGTCCAATTTTGCTTTTAATAAAACTTTACCAATTTACCAGAAATTCTTTAGTACTGGAATTGAATGGGTGTCTAGAAAGTATCTTAAACAAAAGGCATTTTGTTCAAGATCTTCTGCAAACTGAGTGCTGTGGTTACCAGTGGAAGAGTGTTTCTCAGGGCTGGACTGTGGCTTTTTTTTTTTTGGCCCTTGTTGGATAAATGCCCCTGCTTGGAGATTTGACTTCAGAATGATAGTATAGTTGACACATTTCTCCCATATCTGTCTTTGGACGTTCACATGGGGTCTGAACTGCCAAATGTCATGTCTCCTTAGTTAAGTCTTCAGCCAAGGTCTCCTTAGTCAAGCCTCTGGCCTGCAAAGGTCACACCATTTGTCTCCTTCTCTAAGCTTTTTTGAACTGTCTAGGAGTAAAGGTGGAATAGGATGGACTGGTAGAGCATCTGCTTAGCATGTGCAGGGCCCTGGGTTCAGCCCGAGCACCATGAAAAAAGAAAAAGGAAAGAAAAGTAGAATAGGGAAGGACAAGTGAAGAGAATGTGGTTTGTTGTGGCTTCTTGGTTTTTAATTATGGGTTGTTTGAAACAACAACAACAAAAAATACTTTTCCTAAGACTTTTGTTAGTATCTTTTTCATTTGGGAAAATATTTTGAGAGATATAATAATTATTACATTTTGAAATTTTGTATGAACTTCTACTAAATTTATTACTTTAAAATTTTTGCTGATCTAAAGTAAATTGGGCTTTTTTCTTTAAAAGATGATGCATCAATTCTAACTAAACTTTAGAGATTAACTTTTCGGGAAATAGTGAAATAGTTCCAGTGATAAAACATTAAACCTGTAAGTAAAAATTTTCTACTGTGCTTCCATTTCTTATATTATTTAGCTTTAATTTGGCTAAGCAATCAAGAGTCTTTGAAGACACTGATGTTTTGAAGCAGACTTAAATTAGTTTTAGGAGGTATAGCATTAAGCATTATTGATATGTTGTACTGCAAGAGTAAAATGTCCAAAAACCTGAGACATCATAAATGCTTACTTGCTGTTTTCAGTGGGTTTTTTTCCATTTCTGCTTGGCGATTGAATGCATTTGTTTAATTCTCTTTTAACTCATTTAAGAAAAAAAAAAACACCTTTATTTCAGGAAGGGAAAATGAACAGAAATTAAATAACAAGACACATTTAAAGAAAGCTTTGAAGACCAACCCCTCCCTCACGAAGGAGATAAGAACAGTTTTGGAGCAGAGCTTGATGGAGAAACTGGAAACCCTGGGAATTAATGCCGTATGTTCGTCCAATTTGGGAGTACTTACTGGTTTGTTATATTTTGGTTTTTTAGTTAGGAAGAATCAAAGAAAAGAAGGCATGTCAGTTCTGTCCACATTTGGAGACCAGAGGCTAATACCACCCCGTCTTCCATGGACACCTGGGTAGCATAGCTGTGCCTAATACCTTTACAGATCCTAATCATTTAAACAGAAACAAATCTCTGAAACAAGTGACATTATTATCTCCATTTTACAGAAATGTCATTAAGTAACTATTAACATGGTACAACTAGAAAGGAAGGCACAAGGGTTTATATAAGGACAATTATGGCCTACATTCTGATATTAACCCCCCAAATCATTGCCTATTAAAAAATCAGCACTTAGTAAATACTTGCTGGATGGATGGATGAATTGTATTTCATGGTGTTGCCAGATTGAATATTTTCAGTACATCATATATACCTACAAACTCCTTTTGCTTTTCACATTTGTATTGACATACATAAAATGCACATATCTAAACTGAATAACAGGGGACCTATATACCTATATATATATATGTTCCTACATACACATGGATATACAATGTGTGTATATGCAGAAGTATCAAGGCTACGTTGGCATGTACATAGGCACATACGTATTCGCATGTGCATTGTGCATGTGTGCTTATTTTATACATGGATTGTGTACACACCATGCATGTAATATGTCTATGTAGATATTTGTATGCAGATGTATGTGTGTGTGCATGGGTGTCTTATAGATATGAATGCATACATATGTGTATATGCATTTGTGTACATGTATGTGTGCATGTAGATATATATGAAGAAACGTGAATGTATTTATGTTTCATGCTTTTCTATTTATGTGTTTATATATGGATTTGTATACATGTGGATATGTGTGTATACATGTATATATACATGTGTGTAGTCTGTAACCAGCACTCAGATGAGGAGATTGAACATTTTTAACACTGAAGAAGACCCCCTTACCTTTTCCTCATCAGTATCACCTCTTACTCTGCGAACCAAGGTGACAGATATTCTGACTTGATTTTGCTTGTTCTTGAATCTCATATAGGCAGAATCCTGTACCATGTAGTATTTTTTATCTTTTACTTATGATTTGTCTGATTCATATCTCTTGTTTCAGTAGCAGTAGTTTGTTCTTTATTGTGTTGTAGTGTTCTCTTGTATGAATAACTGTCATTTATCTCTTCCTTTGCTAATAGACTTTTAGGTCTCCAGTTTGGACTATTCTTGGCTATTAATTTTTGTACATATCTTTTGGTGGACATAAGCCATCAAAATATTTCTATTTCTTGGATATATGTCTAGGAATAAAGTTGCTGGGTCAAAGGGTGAGCATATATCTGGTATAATAAGTACTGTCAAATAGTTTTCTAATCCATATTGTCCCTAACCGTGCGCAAGAGCTTGTTTGCTCCACATCTTTCACCCACTCCTAGAACTGTCACTCCATTTCATTTCCATGTAGAGTCTTTTAGGTGAGTTTTGACCACACTTAGATGGTGGAATCAAAGACATTCATGGAATTTCTATAGCTCCTATGTGAATTGTTTCTTGAGACAATTTTTCATGTTAGTTGTCTGCATATAGCTTTGGTGTTTTAATTTTAGTTGACACATTTCCTTTCGTCAAAAGATAATTAAAAAAAAAATCTGTTTCATCCCTAATGCTTAGAAAGGTCTTTTACTTTGTTTTGTTTTGCTTTTCCTTTATCTGGTATTTAAGAATTAGGTTTGGAAACAGTGATTTGGAAATCTGATTTTATTTCCAGTTGGATCAGTTCTCCCAATATCATCTGTTGAGTAATCCCTCCTTTCTCCACTTATTGGAAATGACATTTTTACCAAATAGGAAATTTCTTTATATATTTGGATTTGATTTTGGACTTTTAGTTGTTCTTGCCCCCCCCTTTTATTCTTTTGCCAAGACCATTCTGATTTCATGCAGCATCTCTGGCATGTGTTGTAATGTCTTCTGTAGGCAATGTCTGCTTCATTAGTCTTATTTCAAAAATTTCATGGCAGTTGTTTCATTTTTCATTCTCCAGTGAAATATCTTCTTTTCCAGACCAACCCCTGTTGGGATTCTGATTTAAATTGCATATTAATTAGGAAGTATTGACACTTGTATAGCGTTAGGTCCTTCTATCCAGCCATAGGTGTAGGAAGACAGAGAGATAACATGGTAGAGCTCTGACCACAGACAGTACGGAGAGAAGTGAGGAAGAATTGGTAGGGTTGGTGGAATAACTAAGATCAGAGAAGATCTCATATTGGAGGTGGCACTTAATCTAATGACAGATTTTTCTGTCTTGGGCAAGGGTGAGTGGTGGGGCCACTTCCCAGGGTGGGGAAGGATGTAATGCTTTGAAGGAGAAGAGGGGGGATGGAGATGAAGATGGAAGATGTGTGTGTAAGACACTGTTATTAAATAAAGAGCCCTGTTTTTTTCTGTTTAGATTACCATCAAATCCAGATTAATTTTCTCAGCTCACCTCTTTAATTATTCTAGTTCCTAACTGAAGCTACCTTTGATGACTTTCTCTTCCCTGTGGGACAGCCTTTAAGCCTTTCACATTGGCATTCAGCCTCCTTTCTGGCCTCCTCACCCAGGCCTTTGTTAGCCTGTGGAGCATGCTTTGATTGTTTTTGCTCCTGCACCAGTCTGCCCCACAAGGTATCCTATCCCCATGTTTACCCATCTGGAAATTCCTCCTAGTTTCTGCTTATTTGACTCCACCCCTCCCTCAGGGCACAGCTCAGCCTCCTCTTCAGCCTTCTCTGGTTGCTGGTTCCTCTTATGGCTTCCCTGGGATTCCTCCTGCCTTGGTGGACTCTTTTGTCTTTCTCACATGGCCTTATGTCATTGGCCAACCAGTCATAAACAGTCTACAAAAACCTGACATGCCCAAGTGCAATGGGAGCTGCTTTTGGACAGTGTTACATTTTGGAGGACCCATGGACATGTGCACACATGTGCCCATGCGTGTGTGCATGCACACACACACACACATGCACACACACACTGTATGTGCAGCTGGAGCCCAGGAAGAATGGACTGAAACATTGATGGCAAAGTAAATGCTGACATACCCAGCGGAATGAGAACATCACAGGATAACAGTTGAATCTTACTCCTTCAGGATATCCGCGGTATTCCTAGTGAGCACTTGAATAGAGTGCTGAAAACCGTGCATTCAGCAAGACATGAGAGAGAAAGACAAATGCCCAACATTCAGGAAATTCGAGAATTCCTTGAACATCAGGTCAGCTGTAAAATTGAGGAGAGAGGATTACTCTTTACAGGTGAGCCTGTTACCAAATGCCTTTTCAAGGCCATGTATGGGAGCTTACTTTAACCACCTTCCACAATTCTAAATGGTTTACAAATGCTGGTACTTTACAGGCAACTCTCTTACTATTTGTACTGTTGAGTGCCCTGTCTTTCACATTTAAAAAATAAGCCCTAGAGTCTGGACGCAGACCCCAGAGACAGGCTTGTTTCTTCCCACGGTACCACAGTGTTGCACCGTGACATTTTGCTTTTCACTTACTGATTATAAAGGCCACAGAGACTCATGAATGATACTTCTCTTCCAGATAAGCCCAGTATTTCTCAAATGGAAACCCTTTCAACTGGAGAAGTACCCAAAGCAGTCCAGCTTCCTCCCAAAAACAGAATATTGGTTAGACAAAGACCTGTTTATACTGATAGAACTGCTCCTGTTCCAAAGTGAGTATTTTCAACCCATATATATATATTTTTTTTTTTAATTATTTGCCTTAGGCATCTGGGGCTGCCATAATAGTATGCCATAGATTGGGTGGTTTAAACAACAGAAACTTACTTTCTCCGACTTCTGGCTGAGGGGTGTCAGCATGGTCATGTTTGATCAAGGGCTGTGTGCAAGCCCTGCAGAGTGCTGCCTTCTCTCTGTGTTCGTATGTGGTGGAGTGCAACTTCTGATATCCCTCTTTTAATCAGGGCAGTAAGTCCATCATGGGGCTCCCCTCTACCACCTCATTTAAGCCTAATTACCCCAAAGTTCCTACCTCCAGATACCACCACACTGAGGATCAGGTGTTCACACGTGAATTTGGTGGGTACAAATGTTGAGTCCCTAACAGTGAATCACATCTGCAATAGTTGCTCTCCTTTGTTGACATAAGTAAAACAAAACAAATCACCAATTCCATAGAAATTTGTTGATAATGTAGTATACACTCACACACTTTATAAATATTTTTCTGCTGTTTTTTTTTTTTTTTTTTTTTTTTTTTTTTTAGAATTAAGAAAAATGTCATAGAAGATCCTGTTCCCAGAAAGTCATTGTCTGTTACGTGAGTACGGGGGCCGGTGTGGGGCATTTTAACAACTCTCTTTACTGGACTTTCCTTTCATCGTAAATTACTATCTTAGAGTTGGTTAAGCATCGTTGTTCATTTGTGATTCCTTTGTGTGTGTGTGTGTGTATATATATATATATATATATATATATATATATATATATATATATATATATACATATGTTTGTGGCATATCTTTATCGTTTATTATCTGTGTGAACAGAATTTATCACATCATGGTCTCCGTGATGAGGGGCCACACCTGTCATTCTCATGTATTCCTCCTTCCCCCAGCTAGTGTGGAGTAATTTCTTGACAAGTATATTTAAATCTAATGGATAGTATTGGGTTTTAATGGCCAGATCCATTACAGTATAAGTTTCACACATTATTTTCCTGTTCTAGCTCCTTGGGGTCTTGACCATGACCCTATATCTTATTTAGTTCTGTAAGGATACTAGGAATCCTTGCTTTATCACCTAACAATTGTGTGCCATGGATTCAGTTGACTACTGTTTTAAGCCTCAGTTTTCTTAAAAAAAAAAGTTATGTAACATGGCATAATGCTGTCTTTTTCACAGGATAATTTTACAAAATAAAATTGGGGCTGGATACACTGGTGCACACCTGCAATCCCAGCTACTCAGGAGGCCCAGGCAGGGGGGTATTAAGTTTGAGGCCAGCCTGAGCAACTTAGTGAGACTGTGTCTCAAAATAAAAATAAAAAGGGCTACAGGTGCCACTCAATGTAGAGCACTAGACTAACATCCACAAAGCCCTGGGTTTAAGCCCCAGTACCACAGAAATAAATAATGAAAATAAATAAAAAGAGCTTGGCTCAGCACTTGGCCCTGGAGGGTACTCAATAAATTGTAGGTTATATTACTTTGAATTAGACTAATTTTATTGTAATTGAATTTCATCACTATTGCCTTATTCTGGAGATACCTACCGTTGTCATAAATGAGGAATTATACAATAGAGAAAATAATGATTCATCTTTCCAAAGTGTTTTTCATGAATGTAATTCCATGGGATGAGGTTTTTTTCATGACTGAAACAACCTTTACAAGACATGTGTTATCTGGAATTTAGGTACTCTATAGATATTCTTTCTTTAAATGAACAAACACTACTCAGAACTTCTATTTCACTTTAAAACTGGGATATTTCAGGTGATAATATAAATGAGATTGTATGTGTAAAAAACAATAATTTTTTAGAGTTTTCTTGTGGGAAATGATTTTCCTTTGCTGAGAAATGTTTTTCTTAGGCATGTAAAAACTAAGACTGTTAAGAATGCACACTTGGGTTTAGAGGAAAAAGGCTGTAACTTCAGTCCATATTGACAACTGTGGCACACGATTGGCAGGTCTGGATCTGGAGTGACCCCCACAGGCTCCTGGGCCTCACCACAGTCTTGTCTGTGGCCATGCGGGGTTAGTTTGTTGTCTCTGGGAGTTTTCTGAGAAGGTTCCCACCACTTTAAGAGGCTCATGGTTTGTAAGTCCTTTGGTTTCGCTTTGTGCAGGACACCTCCCTTCAGTTCAGAGGAAGAGCTGGATGAGGATGACCTCATCCAGGCATACATGTCCCCAGACTTACTTCCCGTGCAGTCCTCTAAAAGCAACAAGACTAGCTATGGAAAGAGCAGCATCAAAAGTGACACTGACTGGACTGAGGGAAGCGAAATGGAGGACTCTGACATTTCTCCCAAGCCCACAGGTGAGCTTTTATCACCAGAGAACCTTCTGGAAATAATTTAGGACAGTGGTTCCCAGCTGGGGGCACCGAATGCAGGGAGTATGAACTGGGAAAGTTCACCAGGCAAGGCTGGGTCTTGTCTAGAGGTGCTGCCTAAGGAAGGTGGACGCACTTATTGGCCAAGCTATCTTCTAGTTGAAAGAGAGGCAGGAATTGGGGGTACCTGGCTATATTGGTTTCCCAGTGCTCCTATAACAAAGTACCACAACTAGGCAACTTAGACTACAGAAATGTCCTGTGTCACCAATTCTGCAGGCTGCAAACCATAATCATGGTATTGGCAAGTTCAGCTCCTTATGAGGTAAGGATATGCTCTAGGCCTCTGTCCTTGGCTTGTAGAAGACCACTTTCTCTCTGTGTCCTCATATCGTCCCTCATGCATGCCTCTCTGTCCCAATTTCCCACTTTTATAAGGACAGTGGTCACAAAGACTAGGGCCTACTCTTAGCAACCTCCATCATTTAATTACCTTGCCTCTAAATAAAGTCACACATTCTAAGGTACTAGGGGTGAGGACTTCAACATATGAGTTTGAGGGGACAGAATTCAACCTGTTAATACTGTTCTAATACACTGCACTGCCTTTTGGAGATGGGATGATTTTAAAGAAAGACAAGGTCCCAGTCTGTGTCTGCTGATAACATGCTAAAGAGAAATAATTCTGTTTAATGTAACTTAGGAACTATATATTTTAAATATATTGCTATTATTATTTGTATGTCCTTATAGTTATGTAAACTATAACCAGTGCATTTGAAAGTAACTCATATTGTTTTGGAAGGTACCATTTAAATACTCCATTCACACAGATTACCTCACTGAATTAATGTTTCTGACCATATAATTATTACATGAGTTGGTCCTTGATTAAAATAAAAACTTTTGTAGCTTCTTGCCTGGAGGATCATGACTTTTTTAAAGTATTTTTCTTTACTTTTTAATCCCAAAATAGATCAGCTAATTTTATTTTAATAATATGTAATTATGTACAGAACTTAGACTCTTTCTAAGGTGCTTGTAAGGTTATTTTGGAACTGGAGATAGATACAATTTTTAACGACCTGTCTGACTAATTTCTGTTGTTCCCATAGTAACCGCCATTAAAACACTGACTGAAAAAGTTGAAAAGATGGTTTCACAGCAAAAAAATGTGAATAAGCCAGTTGGTGGGATTAATGTGGCTGAGGCATTTATTGCAAAAGAAGRATTACAAGAAGAACTAAAGGTAAAGTCACTTTTACTTACTAAACATACATTAATTTATCTCGATAAAATATAATTATTAATATAGTAGAGATTAAGATTTTTCACCTCAGTTTTGCATTTAAGAATCAAAGATATTGGGGCTGGGGATGTGGCTCAAGCGGTAGCGCGCTCGCCTGGCATGCATGCGGCCCGAGTTTGATCCTCAGCACCACATACAAAGAAAGATGTGTCTGCCAAAAACTAAAAAATAAATATTAAAAAATTCTCTTTATTTTTTTTTATTTTTTATTTTTTTAAATATTTCTTTTTTAGTTTTAGGTGGACACAGTATTTTTATTTTTACATTTATGTGGTGCTGAGAATCGAACCCAGTGCCTCATGCATGCTAGGCGAGCACTCTAACACTGGGCCACAACCCCAGCCCCTTAAAAAATTCTCTTTAAAAAAAAAAAAAAAAAAAGAATCAAAGATATTAGAGTGATAATCTAAAATCCAAAATCTGAAATGTTTTGAATTATTATTATTATTATTTTATTATTATTCTAGGGATTGAACCCAGGGGCCCTTTACCACTGAGCCACATCCCCAACCCTTTTTATTTCTTTGGAGACAGGGTCTTGCGAAGTTGCTGAGGGTGGCCTCAAACTTGAGATCTTCTTGCTTTAGTATCCCAAATTGCTGGGATTATAGGGAGCCACCACATCTGGCTCAAAGTATTAAACTTTTTGAACTTGACACTCAAAAAGTTTCCGACTTGGGCTGGGGATGTAGCTCAGCAGTGAAGCCTGTGCTTAGCATGCTCAATGTTCAATCTCCAGTATCCCCCGCCAGAAAAGTTTCAGATTTTAGATTGTTTTGGGTTTCTGTTTTGGATTTAGATTGTTAGGGATGTTTACACCTGGTAAAGTCTATGCAAATATTTCAAAATCTGAAAACCTATAGAATCTGAAACACTCTGGTGTAAGCAGTTTGGCTAGGGTATATCCAACCTGTAATAATGCATCATATGTTCATCAAAATATCAAAATTCTGTCATGTTTGATGCTTGCAGATATTACATGACTTGGACAAAGAAATGTGAATGGCTAGACTTTGGGGCCTCCATATCCAAGTCTAGGGACTTTTCTCATACCTTTGTGTGATAGGGATAAAATAGGGAGGACATAAAATAGGGACTTTTCAGGGATTAGTCCTTTGTGGAGCTGGAGTCAGTAGAGAGATGCTTCAAAGATGTATGTGAATCTTGAGTCAAGGGTAGGCCCAAGCTCCTCTGCTGCATCAGAGAAGAATGTTTCCAGTTCTAACAGCCTGGATGCCAGAGAGTCTGACTGCAGCTCTCCTATTATATTTCTGGAAAGCCTGTCTGTGTTGCCTGGGTCTTCCAATAGTAGTCATTCTTTTTTAAATTTTTCACTAAAATTAGATTTAATTCCTTCTTCTTGTTCTTCCATGGAATCCAGAGCATTCTGTCAGACTACTTTATTAGTTTGTGTTTCACAAGCTGAAAGTGACAAAAAGCCATATGTCATCAAGAGAGCTAATGTGCCTGCCCTCTTTTGGAAAGGGCAAACTGCAAACATGCTCCTTTCAGGGAGTAGCCGTCTCTGCAGGCTCTGTGTGATATGTGCCACCCTGGCCTTTAGAATTTCTTGCCCCCACTGTAGTTTCTGGAATTTTCCAAATTCTTGATTTGTAGAGAAGAAAAATATATTTCCGTGGCATGAAACAAGAAAGATGATTCCCTTAGCTTTCAAAACGCACACTTCCAAATTCAGTTCACTGCCCTGCAGAAATCCCGGATTTGGAACCTGTCATTCCCGACCTCTCTTATTCAGTGTCAGCTGCTCAGTCTAAGTTGCTAAATGATTGAGGGGCACCAGCTGTTTCTTGAAGAAACATGAATTGTCTCCACATATTTTAGTGCGCAGATGTGGACGAYGATGACTGGGACATATCATCCTTAGAAGAAGAAAATTCCTTGGGGAAGAAAACTGTGAAAGAATGGAAGGAACCTCCACCATTGAAGAATGAATCGAGTTCTACTCAAGTGCCAAGTGCCTGGGTTGCTTCTAAACCTAGGGGATCCAAAACAGAAGGTTTGCTGCTTTCTTCCTCAGTCCTTTTTCTGACAGCTTCATCTTTATAAGTATCTATTTCAGTTATGCTGATATGTCATCAGACAAAAACACTGTTAACATAACCAAGACCTTGATGCTTTATGTCATTTGAATAAGGACTGTGTATAACTTATTGATTTGTATATACTTAGTAATCATTTTTATTTCATATTTTACTTTAAAAAATTTTTAGATTGTAAATGTCTATACAAATATTCTCTTCATGAAGATAGAATTAAATTTTCTGATCATACTCTTGAATGAGACCATTTTTCTGTCAGTCTTCCTATACTCCTGCTTCCTATTAAATATTTTTTAAATTTTCTTTCAAGAAGGTTTTTCCTTTAGTGTTATAGTCAGTGGGATGAATTACAAATGAAATAGTTAAAAATGCTTCCTGGCCACCTGGGCTAGAGCCTGGATAAGTTCAGTAACTTAACTCTCAGTAGATTAAGTTTTTTTAATTAGAAAATGGTGATTTATATTTTTTTAGACAGTAGAGGATCTGGCTCATTTTTGCTGTCCATTATACCTCTCATGTCCCCCTCACTATTTTTGTACCCTGGCATATAATTTTTAATTGGTACTGTAGATTCCACTTTTGTACTTAAAGCTTAGCTATTGTAGATTTAACTGCTTAAAGTATTGATGGGACAAATCACTACAATATGCTGATTTTAAATCCTTTGGGAAAACTGGGTGAAATGGTGATTCCATTCCAGGTTTTCTGAGGAATCTCCATACTGCTTTCCAGATTGGTCGCACTGTTTTGCAGTCCCACCAGCAATGCACGAGTGTACCTTTTCCCCCACATTTCACCAACATTTACCATTATTTTTATTATTGATAATTGCCATCTGACTGGAGTGAGATAAAAATCTCAGTGTAGTTTTAGTTTGCATTTCTTTAATTGCTATAGATGTTGGAACATTTTTTCCTGTATTTGTTGACCAGTCATATTTCTTTTTCTGTAAAGTGTCTGTTCAGTTCCTTTGTGTGGCTGGATTTTGTAGGAGCCTCTGCATAGCTCATGGAAGCCAGGAGCAGGGGTTCCTGATCAGATTCAGACACTGGGTGATAAATGACAGTGTGAAATTACGGACTTTCTCAGGCTTACCAGTGTGCCTGTTTAACCACGGGCACCTCCTTTTCTCTTCCCACAGTTCGTCAGGAAAACGAATTGAGCACACTGAAAARCAGCTTCATAACTATGGCTGACTGGGGTGACCCTTCACGAATGGAGCACATTAAAAAGCAGCTGAGTAACTGTGACTGACTGGAGTGACCCTGCAGATAATTAACTACAGAAGCCAACAGTTCAGCAATGGCTACGTGATTCTCAAGCTCTTGCCTTACAGCGTTTCCCACGATAACTAGGAAGCSAGTTCAGAGGATGAGGTTCTCTTTAATGGCACTTGGTACAGTATTGAGAAACAAATTGTCCACAGTATTTGGAAGCATATAAAGGTGTTTGACTTCTTAAGAATAATATGTCACTGAAGTCATAAAGTGTTTTCTTTAGAATGGTACTCTAGTGTTAAGTGTATTTTTTTCAACTAATTTTTAAGAGAAAATTTTTCAGCTTCTCACGGGTTTTGGTTTGAATTATTACCGCGTTTTAATATATTTTAGGTTTATTGTCACATTGAAAGTATTTATATTATAAACTTCTCTTAGTATCTTTAAAATTGAATTAGTAGAATCTACAAAATATTGAGTTAGATGGGTTATTTTTCATATAGAAGTTTAGAAAAATATAGCTAGGCCCATGTTAAATACATTTTCCTAAATTACTTGGATCATATTCTGCCTTGAGCCACTGTAAGCATGTTGCTACCAGTTATTTTCTGCAGATAATCTTTATCTTGGATATTTTACAAATGAAATGTAGCTATTTTAAACACCAGTTAATTTATCAGAATATGGAAAGATTTTGTCATAGCTGAATCATAGTTGTATGTAGTTTTTTTGTTTGCCTTTTTAGTTTTTTTTTTAATAGCCAACCCATATTATAAAATACCTCAAAACTGATTGTTATATTCTTGAACAATGACATTGTCAAAGTTCAGACTCTTTTGCATTTTTTTATGCTCATGGTACTGTCTGTACTTTGTTTACCCCCAAAAGTAACATTTTAACTGAATCATTTGTTGGGTTTTGGATCTTTTTGTCTATCTTTCCAGTAAAGCCCTTTGCACACCATTGTGACTGTGGTGACTGCGACTGATTCTTAAAAACGATTCCAGACTTAAATTTATCTTTTGAGAGGGACTTACTAAGGGAGAAGCTTGCCCTGATAGCTATGCCACATAACATCCTAACCTTTGAAAAACGTTTCTTCCTTCCCCAGGGAAAGTAAAAAACTTGTACCCATTTCAAACCTGTAACAAATTCCTGCAACTTCCTATAGGGAGCATTTTATGCAAATATACTCACTTTTCATGGATGTTTCTAAAAGCTGTCATGAAATAGGAATCATATTTACGTGCGGTAGAACAGAAATAAGCAGCTTGCAAAAATATTGTGCCTGAGCTAGTCCCTGGGTCCCCTGGTCACCCAGTCATTGCTTCAGCAGGTATTTATTGAGATACTGGGTTTTGGTTTTAACATGCATCAGAATGTTCTTTAGAAGAACTCTAGAGATGAGACCATTGTCATCATCCTCATCCTAAAGATGTGAGAAGCAGGTACCTGCCAAAGACCATATGACAAGAGCCCCTTTAAACCAATCCTCTGCTCCAAATTGTCTGCCAGAGCAGCAAAACAGACTTTTCCCAAGTAAACCCAACATTTACCATGTGTTTGTGTCATAAAAGCCAATCCTTTAACTCATCTGTTTAGTTGTATCATTTTCTTTTACCAAATTTGGCCTGTTCCTTTTTCCTTGAACCTGTTACCTTGTAGTGTCATTCGCTGGTGCCCAGCTAACGCACTTCTGGTTACTAGGAGGACTTCTCTGTCCCCTGCCCTCCCTAAATTCTTCAGTACTATCTAAACATTATCTTTACCAGCTCAAATTTCCATTAAAAAACATGTGTTTTAAGTGCACACCCACACAGCCCTGTCCGCACACTGGCCTGAAACATCTAATTTATTGCCTTTATGTCTTTCAGTTAATTAGTATCTCTGGAAAAAAATAATTAAGTACTCACATGGTATGGAATTTTTTATTTTTATTAACAAACTGTCACTTGCTTTTCTTTCCATTGAGCACTTCCAAACACTTGATTTTCAAGACTTTCATATGTCAGGAAAATATGTTCATTCAACTACTGTTAGGATTCATATTATATGTACAGTTTCTCAGAAATATAATAAGTTATCAGTTCTTATCCACAGCTTGAAAGTGTATATTTTACCCTAGAATGTCCTAGTTCAGAGCCCTGGTTCCGTCATCATGGCAAGTTAAACTCTGCTTTAATTCTCTTTCCTGTAAATGCAGGATAATGGAAATACATGTCTCAGGGGTGGCTGTAAGGGTGACTGATTTAGGATGTGTGAGTTGTGAGTTGATTCTGATAACCAGGGCATCATGGGCATGTTCTGGATAGGGCTGGACCTAGGAATAAGTCTGTTCAGAAATCACTGGAGCACCTTACATGTCACAAAAAATGGTGAGTCTCTCAATTACCCTGCTTGTACCATAAACAGCACCTGGAGACACAGGGAAGCTCAGCCCACCAGTTCTAAGTGAGACAGGTACCACTGGGGACCTGGGACTTCCTTACTGGCTCCAGAGTCAACCACAAACAGTCTCACTAGCTCAGCTCATGCTGATGCCCTGCTTTCTGGGTCAGAGAAGCCTAAGTAGTTGCTTATTATGGATGTGCCACATAAAGGGCAGTGGCACCCTGGCCTCATTAACCCTTCCTTAAGCCATCATAATGAATGACAGTAGTGACAGATGGGTGTCAGAAAGTAGAAGTTGACTCTGTGCAGCAACCCATAACATACCTATATAACTTGGATTCCTTTTAAGGAGCTGCCTCAGATTGTCCCCATACTGTTTACAAGAAACCATTTCTTGAATGCCTTCTGTTTAGTTATATGAATGAAATAAGGAATGGGGTCAGACCTTATTGAATGCCTGAAAAAGCTATATGACAAATACTACTTGCATCTTTGGTATTAAATGCTTTTCATGTTCTCTAAAGGTATAAAATGTACAAATCCTGTAAATAACCTTTTTATTTTTTTAGAAAGCCACAACAGAAATGATTAGTATATAACTATGCAAGAACATTTACATCCACACAATCAACAAGTTCTTCAAATTCAGGATCATTTTGTGAACAGTCCACTTTATAACAAACTCAAGGTACAGCTTGCCAGCAGGGCTCTTTCAGACGTAAGCATTTTTATCAAACTGTTTTGAAGGGTTTGTGGTTTTAAAATCTCCTTCTCCTCCGTGATACTTTGTCCGAGAAGACATGACAGATGTGGCCCCGTTGTATGTATATCCCATTCTGAAAGGCAAAACACAGGTCGGTAGAGTGAGTTCTTACACGTAGGGCAAACAAAAATCGGATGAAACTGTTTTCAGTAAGTTTAAGGCTTCCTCTTTCTTGTTAGCCTTCTTCCCTCCTCTGGCCTTGGAATAGTTCACTGTAGTTACTTTTTTTTTTTAGTTCACTGTGGTTTCTAAGTGGCGTGCAGGACAAGGAATCTCTGCAAAAGAAGCTCATGACTTATTCATCTGTTTGGATATTGTTTTTTTTTTTAATTAGTTTTTAAGTCTAGTTCCCATTCCCTATTAGATTAAATATTTTTAGGAAAATCACGTTTTTATTTTATTTATATATTTTATTTACAGTTATTTTATTTATATATTTTAAATCCATCTTAGTAGTTTAATTTTTCCCGTAATTTTTATTGGTGCACTATAGTTGTACATAATCATGAGCTCTGTTGTTACATATTTGTACATGTACACGGTGTAAGAATATAATTTGGTCAATATCTCTCCACAGCACTCCCCACCCCCCCACTCCCACTCCCTGATCCCTTTTGATTTTCATGAGATTATACGACCATCTTTCTTTTCCTTTTTCCCTCTAGTTTCTGCATATGAGAGAAAACATCACTCTTGACCTTCTGAGTTTGACTTATTTCACTTAACATGATGGTCTCAAGTTTCATCCATTTTCCTGCAAATGATATAATTTCATTTTTCTTTATGGCTGAATAAAACTCCATTGTGTATATATGCCATATTTTATTTATTCATTCACTCACTGATGGACACGTAGGCTGGTGTCATAGTTTGGCTATTATGAATTGTACTGCTGTACACAGGGTTATGCATGTATCATTGTAATATGAGCACTTTAATTCTTCAGGATAAATACCGGTTATTTTTTTTAAAAAAACTTGTCTGGAACCTGGGAGACTTCATAGTGACCTTCTTCAACAATTCCTGCCTATATAAAAACTTTTGAGGAGGCTGATATGAAGATCATGCCCTTGTATTTAGGATCTTATTCCCGATATAGCATTGGAATATAACAATGATGAACTCTTTGTTTTAATTTTATTTTTAGTTATATATGGACACAATATCTTTATATTTTATTTATATTTATGTAGTGCCGAGAATTGAACCTAGTGCCTCACATGTGTGAGGCAAGCGCTCTGTCACTAAGCCACAACCCCAGCCCTGATGAGTTTTTTTTTTTTTTTTTTAATTTTTTAGTTGTAGTTGGACACAATACCTTTATTTTATTTGTTTATTTTTATGTAGTGCCGAGAATTGAACCTAGTGCCTCACATGTGTGAGGCAAGCGCTCTGTCACTAAGCCACAACCCCAGCCCTGATGAGTTTTTTTTTTTTTTTTTTAATTTTTTAGTTGTAGTTGGACTCAATATCTTTTTGATTTATTTTTAAGTGGTGCTGAGGATCGAATCCAGGGCCTTGCACGTGCTAGGCGAGAGCTCTACCGCTGAGCCACAACCCCAGCCCCTGATGAGCTCTTTTTTAAAACAGAAACTAACTATATTTTTACCTTTTCTAAATCTGGGTCTTCGAAGTTTCTGAGAATCACATGAACTATATGCAATTTGTCTCACATGTAATGAGTTAAAATAGTATAGTATTTTTTAACAGGTTGTCTCTTTTTCATACCTGGGTGTTTTGCTGTTGTCAGATATTGAAAAGCAAAATATGATACCACCAATTATGCAGAGTGAGGCTCCTGCCCATCCAATAAATAGAGCAGCTCCTAATTCATACCTGTGAGAAAGCATTACACAAGGATTACAGCATACTTATTTGGGGGTAAACAGTATTTAACACTGCTAGCCAACATTCACTAAATGTTCCTTGTACTTTCCTGCCGTTGGAACCTGTAGAGGAAACAGTAACACTTTTGTGTCTGTAGAATGCTTTAAACTCAAATGTTTTTATAGTAATGACTTTTTTGTATCTCCCCAACATCCTGAAAGGAAGTGAGGGTGTCCAGGGTGGGGAGGTCAAAGCCTGGGTCTCCTGACTCATCCAACACCTTTCTTCTGAGTTCTTCTCTTCACCTCACCAAACTCTCCATCCGTTTATTCTGCTCCACAGGGCAAATTATGTAGGCATATTGTGGTTAGAAAAGGGAAGGCCATGTTTGCTGTCATTTCAGGTCAATTTAGTAAATTTTTATCAAGCGTTTGCTATTTACAAAAAAAATCATGGGGCAAGGTGTCCATAAAGGGTCAGGATAAAAATGGCATGGTCTTAGTTATCACCGGAGTCTGATAAGGACACTGGCACCCAACAGCTGTGAGTGATAAGGTACAACCAAGCATCTCCTAGATGGTGAGTCACAGTACTCTGCAAATGACCTGAACAGGATGCTAAGATAGCTTGAGAGACCTTCCCTTGAGGAAATCACTGTGCAAAGGTGCAGATAATGCTTACTGAAAACAAAATTTAAAAGCCGCTTGTAGAGTGGGCTAGAGGGCTAGAGGAAATGCTTTCAGGGAAGGAACAGTCACCCAAAGAAACAAAGAAAGACAGAAGAGCACACCAAAGCCTTGGGGGCTGAGTGTTTTCTTCTGTTCGCCTGTCCTTTTCCTATAGAATAGGTCTCTGATCTTTTTGTGTTGTTTGGTTTTGGTTTGTTTGTTTTCTTACTAAGAGCATCTCTTATTTTGGGGCCACAGACCTCCACTGCAAGGCAAAACCAAACCAAACCTTATCAGGCTTTTCAGTATAAAAGAAAGCAGGAGTGGGAATCTGTTTTGATCACACAGAATCCTCAGTGGAGATAAGGTGAGGGTTACGTGGGGCCCAAGGTCAGCCCCTCCCGGGTCAGATGCAGGCCAGGGCAGGGCTTCAGAATTGAGGCCACACTGTGCTACCTGTGGCTGTCCTGAGCCTGCAGCCCCTTCCTACTTGTATGTCACCCATCTCCTGTCCAATATGGGCAGGGTTTTTGGTGTGGTCTGGGGACAGCAGAGTTGGTGTATACCTGACCACTGGCCAGGAGAACAGGAAAGGGTCAGGGCTTTGTGGTGCACGTGTGGGTTTTCACTCAGGAAGGGGTATATGCACCACAAATGTGGTCCTGTGGTCCCTTCTTTGTCACGCTTACGTTGCCTTTCTTGGGAAGCCAGGTGACAGCTGGGACAGCACATCTAGGGGTTAGAGCCTCATCTGGCTCAGGAGCTCTGATTATTCCCTTGGAGCTCAGAAACTTCAAGGATTCCCCACCGGTGGCAACAGCAAAGATAGCAGATTAGTGTAAGTGAACGGTCTGTGCAAGCAGGCATACACACATACACACACACACACACACAAAAGAAGGCTGAGGACTGGAATATGCAGCTAGAGAAGAAAAGAGTAGGCCAGATCAGAAGTGTAAAATTGGGAGTTTTAGAAAAAACACTCTCATTAACTATCATGTTATACATTTAAAAAGGATGCCCTGGTTTACACAGCCCTGCTTTTGTGCTGTTTTAATGAGATGACCCATGTAGACGCAGAGCCAAGCCACAACCTGAGATGCATTCAACAAGATCCTAAGTGAGCCGACTTCAGATCTGCCCAGCCTCGTCATCTGACTGCACGGCTATAAGAACAAGGATGGCAGAAAAGTCCTACATGGTGGACATCACTGTAGGGCGGCTACTTCACAGTGTTATCTTGCTGTCTATTTTTCTCCAGGGAGCCTAGGCTATCTTCTCAAACTATGCCTTAGCATCACTGTTAGTGTAATATACCCTGAGAAAAGTCTTGAAGTTTTCCTAAAATACTGAGCTTTATTAAAACAGGTACCAAGGGTGACTAGGGATGAGTCTAGTTATTCAAGGTGGTCAGATGAGGACTGAGGGGACAGAAATCATAAGCCACACACAGCTCAGCACTATGAATTCATTGAAAGGTGCACTGCAGATGTGAACACTGTTGTTAGGAATCACAGGACTGTGTTCTTTAATTCAAGCCATCTTGAAGCTTTCTGAAGGAATTTGGGAATCACAAGTTTGATGCATAACTGCTTCCTTATTCCTTTTTTATACATTTTGTTTTTTATACAGGCTCTGTTTCAAGGAAAATATTATTTCCATTTGATTTCCTCTTCAGTCAAACACTAAGTAGTATCTATTCAGAGCTGATTTTGGAGTCCCTGTGGTTTTTAACAATTCAGATGTGAAAGCTTTTGTGACTGGTTCTTTCAGGGATGCTTTTTTCATCCTGTTCAAAAACAGGTCAATTCACCCCTCTCAGGTGTGTCATGTGGCATATACTGACTTGCATTCCCGAAAGGCAGGACTAGGGGAGAGAACAATGGAACATCCACTCCCTTGTGCTCCCAAGGCACGTCTCCTTCCCCTCCTCCGCCTCTGCCAGGAAGTCTTTCTTCACTTTGGGTAAGAAGCTGATTTCAACACCTGGGGAAGATCATCCAAATTGTGGATTATCTGTTGCAAGTCTTTGGTTGACAGTTCCTCTTGGCCCCAGGCCAGCTTTCCCAGTCCCAGTGGGGCCTCTTTGTTATAATCACCATATTATATAATAAGGAAGAAACCTTATTCCACAAGGTGACAAATCTACTAGACACTAGACAGAACCATGATCATCAGGGTAAGGAGAAAACTTCGTTTTTAGATGAAAACATTGATTCTGGAGCCTCTCAATCCATAGAACTTGACTTTAATATATTTGTGCCAGTGAATGTGTCTTTAGTAAACCAGTAATGGGGAACAAATTTACTATCAGAAATTAAAACTCAAATTAACTGCTCAGAATTCCCCCCAAAAAAGTAAACCACAAAGATCTAAGGCATTAAAATGTGCTCTTTACTATTGGTTGATGTCACTCTCCTCCACCCGCTGAGTGAGAGTCTGGGTTGCTGCTTGTGACTCTCCTGTTAAGAGGCTTGGGCTGGAGCATGCTCAGTGGGCTAGATTTGACACCTTTCATCCTGCAGCTCATGGCCTAGCCTTGTGAACCTCCCAACACGCCTAAGGAAAGGGAGCAAGAACCAAAATCAGTTGATAACCACTTCTGATTTTCATCTCCTATTTTTGCCTTCCTTCCACCCAAACCCCTGTTTTGAGGGATTTGCCATTCACAGGGAGCTGGTGTGGTTTCCCTAGTCAGCCCCACAGAAATGACAGGCCAGGTACTGTGCTAATCATGTGTTCAGGGTGGACAAGGGATACAGCCTTGTTCTTACAAATCTCACAATCTGGTGGGCCAGACAGACATTAAGCAAATAATTAAAGTGTGATAAGCTGAATGGTAGGACAGAAATGGCTGTGCAAAGATCATCACCATGGTTCTCCCAAATGTGCACAGATGTCATGTAAGTACATCCATGGTAGCCACATCTATATTATCATCAGCTCTCTGTGCTGGGATTTTTGTGTGTATGCTGTTTTGCATATATTATCATATTTAATCACCATTTTGCCATATTTAATATATTTTTGTTGTATGTAATATATTTGCCATATTTAATATATTCTCATATTTAATATGTAATTTTCATAACAATCCTGAGAAACAGGCGTTCCTATTTCCCACATTTTACAAATGTGGAAATTGAAGCTCAGGGAAGTTAAATTACTTGTTTCAGCCAAGTGAATGGTAGGACCAGGATTTAAACTTCTAGCTTGTGATATCAAATCCCACGCTCTTCAGTGCTGCTACCTTCCTTTTAAGTTACTTTACTTCCTTGATAAGTAAAAGATTTGATTAATTAAAAAAAATCAATGCAAGCTATTTTTAGTTTTCCTTTTAGAGTGGGGAGAGTTTCCTCTCTCCCTGGCTCATTAAGTTCTCACTGGCTGCAGAGCTCAAGGTGTGGAATTTTTTCTGAAAGCCCTCAGGTTGTCTTTCCACCCAGCACAAAGAAGTGAGGGTAGTAATTAAAATCAGGGCAGCTGGAGCTGAAAAAAGGCAGAGCAGACCCTCCAAAATGAAAGCAAAAACTGTTGTACCAAGTGAAAGTGCCTCATCCTTTTAGGATCCCCAGAGAAGTGATGGTGACTTTAATGAAGGACACACAGCTAGGAGCCAGGTCCTTTTCCAACACATTGTCCTCCTCCTCACTTTAATCAAGAGTGGTAACAGCCAAAATAAATTTCTAGTTACCTGAGAACAAATAAATGTCTAAAATCTAGAAGGAACACTCATGAGGTGTCAGTGTAAACATTTTGACGTTGACCTCCATTGGTAAGCCAGCCTTGTAGAGACCCCTGCCCGATGGAAACTTCCCCTCCAGTGCAGAGGCTTATAGAATCCATGGCCTATGTAACTGCAAGAATGGATTTTATACAAATAAGAATTCTCTAGTAATTGTCCACAAATACACATTTCCCCAAAATACTCCACATCTTTTGGAGTCTGAGTTCCTCTAGAAAAGGGCTGTTTGGAACTTGCCCATCCTGAGTCTCTCTGAGGTTGCCCAAGACAGACTCTGTGTAAACCACAACCTCTCTTCTCCTCTGCTAAGCTTCTCCTCACACTCCCTGGCAGGTGTCATAGGACTTCCTACCTAAGGCATCCCACAAGATTTACAAAATAGTGGCAGGGGCCTCCCAAATAGTGACAAAAGTAGAATGGGAAAATTTAAATTTTAAGTGTGTATTTCCATGTAGAAGTTTTGTGGAGAATACTCAAATTTAAGAAACTAAAATATACAGTTTTTTAAATTTTGGGAGCTAATTCTAAATTGCTCTTCTGTGGCTACATTAATAGATTAAATAATGCACTATCTGTGTGTTATGATTTATTATTAG